ATTTTTTGTAATATTTTTCACATCTGTTAATATTTTGAGATAGCACATATCGCGTGATTTTTCACGCGATATGTGCTATCCTTCACCGTAAAAAATGAACCTATTTTTTGAGGTGAATCATGACAAGCAGTTCCTCTTGCCACTTACTTGATATATTAGCAGAAGTGCCGGATCCGCGCCATAAAAAAGGCAAACGCTATCCTTTGGTCTCTATCTTGGCTTTGATCGTCATCGGTCTGATGACGGGACATAAAGGTTATACCTCTGTAGCGACGTGGGCAGGAAGCCAACCCGAACTGATCCAAGCATTAGGTTTCAGATCTAAGAAGACCCCGCGTGCGTCAACACTGCATAATCTCTTGAAGCGTCTTGACGTAGCGAGTCTCGAAGCCTCCCTAACGAAATGGGTGTTTTCAAAACTTGAAAGTCTTCAAGTTTTGAAAACACAGCGTCTACAAGGCATCGCTATTGATGGGAAGGAGTTATGTGGCTCTGAAAACCCAGAGACGGGATACCGGACACATTTACTTTCCGCAGTCTGTCATGAGTTAGGGATTACCCTCGCACAACAGCCTGTCAGTGGGAAAACCAACGAGATTCCGATCTCAACACAACTCCTCAAAGCGTTTGATGTCGCAGAGAAAGTCGTGACGACAGATGCCCTTTTGACGCAGAGAACCTTTTGTAAAGAAGTTCTCGAACATCAGGCAGACTATGCGCTGCCTGTCAAAGAAAATCACAAACAGATGTATGACGACATTCAGCAACTCTTTGAACCCCTCTCGGAGACAGATGCCACAGAGGTTGAGACCCGACGCTTTGAAAACCTTCACACCCAAGAAGGCGCACACCTTCATACCTACACCCATGTTGAAACATCACACGGGTTGACCACCACACGCACCCTAACCGCAAGCACATTGCTCACAGATTACATCAAATGGCCCGGAATCGCTCAGGTTTATCAATACCAATCTCAGCGAGAAAACACAAAAACAGCCCAGATCTCCTCGCAGACGCAGTATGGCATCACGAGTCTCTCACCCGAAGTCGCATCCGCAGAAGACTTGCTCAAACTCCGACGCGAACATTGGACGATAGAAAACAAAGTCCATTGGGTCCGAGACACCGTTCTCGGGGAGGACGCTTCACAGGCGAGAACCGGGAGTATACCACAAGTCATCGCAGCATTACGCAACACTGCCATGTCTGTTTTACGCTTCGCAGGACACACAAAAATCTCTGAAACAATACGATTTCTCGCTTCAAAACCTTTACTCGCAGTTAAACTCATCCAATGAGAAATTGGAAAACTGAATAGCCCTGAACATCTTGTTCAGTATTTGCCTTGACGACAGAAATTTTGCGTGCTATACTTAACGTAAATTTATGCCTTCGCGCGAAAACATAGACTACTTAAACCTCAAATTTTCTCCTTGATTCCACCGATAAAATTTAATGGATAGGAGACTCTAACAAATGGCATACAGTAACTTTACCTTAGAAACAGTTCGGAAAATGTTTCAGTTAGAGACTGATGAAGCGGCAGACATCTCTTCGAGTATAGAGCCAGTGGCACCAAGTGAATATCTCAGAACGACATTGTCGCGCAAAGTGCCGTTAGCTCTTGCTATAGGTACAGAGAAGGCAAGTTCGGAATTGATTATTGCCGATATTCTTGTTGAGCTCCGTGAAAAATTTGAGCGTCGCATTAGTTTTTTTTCAGGTATTGATTTTAGTGTCGATGCGGAAAGCGGCTTGACAGGTGTGTGTCATTTTCTGATAAGTCTCTCGCCTACCCAATTCCATTTAGAGGCACCTATTATCGTTCTCGTTGAAGCAAAGAGGGATAATCCGGTGCTCGGTTTCGGGCAGTGTGTTGCGGAGATGCTCGCCGCACAACGTTTCAATGCCGAGAGGGGAAATGATCTCCCTTGCATTTATGGAGCTGCCACTACGGGCACAATGTGGCAATTCCTCAAATTGGAAGCACAGAGACTCCAAATTGATAGTGCAGTCTACTCAATTGGGCAGTGCGATAAAATTCTCGGCATCCTTGCAAGTATGGTAGAGCAAAAGCATAAATGATTATAGGAGGGCCTCACAAATGGCGTATAGCAATTTTACCTTAGAAACAGTGCTGGCAGCGTTTCAGTTAGAAATTGTTGAATCCATAGGCATCTTTTCTAACATAGAGCCAGTTGCGCCAAGTGCAGAGTTAGCAGTGGCGTTAGAAAAAAAAGTGCCGGTGGCCGCCGCCATAAATACAGAGAAAGCACGCTCCGAACTGATCGTCGCCAATGTTCTGTTTGAACTCCTTGAGCAATTCAATCACCGCATCAGTTTCTTTTCAGGTATTGACTTCAATGTTGATGTCGAAAACGGTCTCACCGGTGCGTGCGATTTTTTAGTGAGTCTGTCGCCGATGCAATCTCTTTTACAGGCACCTGTTATTGTTCTTGTTGAAGCAAAGAAGGACGATCCAGCACCTGGGCTTGGGCAGTGCGTCGCTGAGATGCTCGCCGCACAACGCTTTAATGCCGAAAAAGCCAATGACATTCCTTGCATTTATGGAGCTGCCACTACAGGAACTGAGTGGAAATTTCTTAAATTGGAGGAAAAACGCTTGCAGCTTGACATGACCGTCTACTCAATTGAGCGGTGCGACAAAATCCTCGGCATCCTCGCAAGCATGGTCAACCAAAAAGCGTAAAGAATTGCAGGAGGTTCTAACAGATGGCGTATAGCAATTTTACTTTAGAGACAGTGCGCCGAGAGTTTCAACTGGAAATCATTGAATCCGCTGGCATCTTTTCTGAAGCGTCGACGGTAGTACCACAGGACCGCTTCATGGCAGAACTTGAGGAAAAAGTAGAGTTAGCTATCTCCAGCGGTACAGAGAAAGCGCGATCAGAGTTGATTGTCACCGACGTTCTGTTTGAACTCCGAAAACACTTCAATCGCCGCATCAGTTTCTTTTCGGGGATTGAATTCAGCGTTGATGCTGAACACGGATTAACGGGTGTATGCGATTTTTTAGTGAGCCTGTCGCCGATACTCTCTTTTTTGGAGGCACCTGTCATCATTCTTGTTGAAGCAAAGCGGGAGAACTTGACAATCGGCTTCGGTCAGTGCGCCGCCGAGATGCTCGCAGCACAACGTTTTAACAAGGAAAAGGGGAATATCATCCGCTGCATTTATGGGGCTACTACTTCCGGGACAGAGTGGCGATTTCTCAAATTGGAAGGGGTGAGACTTCATATTGACAGAGCGGTCTACCCAATCGCACAATGCGACAAAATCCTCGGTATCCTCTCTGGTATGGTCGAACAGGAGGTATAGTCTTGCTGAAGTGCTTGTCATCTCTGAAACCTAATACCGCGCCTATAGAAAATAAAAAAATTTGCAATTAACACACAAATATGGTATAATTTAAGGATAAATGGAGCGTTCGTGTTAAAACCTTTTTAATCCAATCCAGCGAGGTTGAAAAAAGGATGCCAGATCACAATTGGAATCGGACCCAAAATTTAGATTGTCCATCGGAATTGATTGGATGATGCCTTTCTCGTCACATCAGACGGGGGAGGCTTTTTTGTTATTAAGAGATCTTATAGGACAAAAAAAATGGAAATGCGTGAAAAGACACAAGTGATGAACGCCGAAGAAATTCGCCGCGCATTACTCAGGATCGCTCACGAAATTTTAGAGCACAACCATAAACACATCGAAGAACTCGTACTCGTCGGGGTTAAAAGTCGTGGCGATTTCATCGCACATCGCATCGCCGAGAACCTTGAACGCATCGAAAACATTGAAGTCGATGTCGGCGCCATTGATGTCACCCTCTATCGAGATGATATTAATCTCCCACGAGACGCAGATTCAGGTTAGCAATACCGAGTTACCCTTTGACATTACCGGCAAATGGGTCATCTTGGTAGACGAGGTGCTCTATACAGGGCGTACCGTTCGCGCGGCAATGGACGCACTCATGGATTTCGGTCGTCCAGCCGCAATCCAATTGGCTACCCTGATCGACAGAGGACATCGCGAATTGCCAATTGCTGCCGATTATGTCGGCAAAAATGTACCCACCTCACACAGAGAGTTTGTTCGGGTGCAGCTTGCCGAAGAAGAGTCTGGCGTAGACTCAGCAATCATTTATGAAAGGGACGGTGAATGAGCGACGCGTGCATCATTAACGGACATATTATCGATCCCGCTAATAACATTGATGGAGTCGGGAACCTCTCTATCACCGATGGCAAGATCACTAAGGTTGATAGTAGTAGGCACACGCCGTGTGCCGTTCACCAATCCCAGGTTTCTGATGTGTACGATGCGATGGGACTGATTGTTGCACCGGGCTTAATCGATATGCATGTCCATCTCCGTGAACCGGGGTTCGAGCATAAAGAGACGATTGCTACTGGCACGGCGGCAGCAGCAGCAGGCGGATTCACATCTGTTGCTTGTATGGCAAACACGTCGCCAGTGATAGATACACCCGAAAAGATTGAACAAGTTTACGACATTGCGCGCGAGACGGCAAAGACAAATATGTTTCCGTTTGGTAGTATTACCAAAGATCTTGCCGGTGAAGAACTTACTGATATGCGTGGGATGCGTTCCGCAGGCGCAGTCGGTTTCAGCGATGATGGCGTTACCGTCATGAACGCCGCACTCATGCGCGACGCACTCGCCTTGAGTGCAGAACTCGGTTTTCCGATTATGGTTCACTGCGAAGAGCATAATCTCAACGCCGGTGCTGTCATGAATCTGGGAGAGACCTCCCGAAAACTGGGGCTTATCGGTAGTCCGAACGCTGCAGAGGACATCATCGTCGCACGCGACATTATATTAGCAGAGATGACAGGCGGACACCTCCATGTACTCCATGTCAGCACTGCGGGTGCTGTCGCTTTGATACGTCAAGCAAAAAAACGGGGGGTTCATGTGACTGCGGAGGCATGTCCACACCACTGGATCCTTACCGATACAGAGGTAGAGAAACAGGGGACGAATGCCAAGATGCATCCACCCCTCCGCACACAGACAGATATTGATGCGATCATTGAAGGTTTGTGCGATGGAACAATTGACGCAATCGCGACCGATCACGCACCGCACGCGCCCTCGGAAAAGGCACAAGGTATGCTTGACGCGCCTAACGGCATTATCGGTTTAGAGACCTGCCTACCACTTGTGTTTACATATCTCGTGCAACCGGAACACCTCACATTGGGAGAGGCGATTGCAAAGATGACTGCTATTCCGGCGAATATACTCGGCATTGATCGGGGGACACTCTCCGTTGGTGCTGTCGGAGATGTTACTGTCATTGATGTTGACCCGGTTCATCCGGTCGACGTAACAAAATCTCGTTCAAAAAGTCAAAACACACCTTTCGCAGGATGGGAACTTAAAGGTTGGCAGACGATTACACTCCGCGAGGGAAGGAAAATATGAAAGCAATTTTGGCGTTAGCCGACGGAACAGTTTTTGAAGGCGAACATTTTGGCACGACGGGTGAAACTGTCGGTGAGGTTGTCTTTAATACCAGTATGACAGGCTATCAAGAGGTTTTGACCGATCCATCCTACAACGGACAGATCGTCACGATGACCTATCCTTTGATAGGGAATTACGGCTGCAACGAAGCAGACGTTGAATCCATTGGTCCGCAGGTGGAAGGGTTTGTCGTTCGTGAATATAGCGCATACCATAGCAATTGGCGTTCAAAATGGAGTTTAGATACTTATTTATCCGAGCATGATATCATCGGTATTCAAGGGATTGATACTCGCGCACTCACTCGTCGGCTCCGAGTTCACGGCGTAATGAATGGCTGCCTCTCTACAGAAGACCTGAATCCTGAAAGTCTCGTTGCAAAAGCCAAAGCGTGGCACGGATTGGTCGGTTGGGATTTGGTGCAACGCGTGACATGCCCGAATCCTTATGCATGGCAGAACCATAGCGATAACAATTCCGATTTTAAATATCGCGTCATCGCCCTTGATTTCGGTATTAAATATAATATCTTGCGTCAACTCACCGAACACGGATGCAAGGTGCAAGTCGTGCCAGCGAAGACCTCTGCTGAGGAGATTCTCGCTGCGGATCCAGATGGCGTTTTTTTGTCAAACGGTCCGGGTGATCCCATGCCAGTCGGTTATGCGATCGAGACGATCCAAGGTTTGATGGGCAAAAAACCGCTTTTCGGGATCTGTTTGGGGCATCAACTTCTGGGGCTTGCCCTCGGTGGAAAGACGTTCAAACTGAAGTTTGGACACCGAGGCACGAATCAACCTGTCAAGCATCTTGAAACCGACAAGGTTGAGATTACCTCACAAAATCACGGATTCTGCGTTGATATTGATTCACTGCCGAACAGCGTTGACATTACGCATATCAATTTAAATGATGACACACTTGAAGGGATACAGCATCGGGAGTATCCCGTTTTTTCTGTCCAATATCACCCGGAGGCATCCCCCGGTCCGCACGATGCAAGTTATCTCTTTTCGCGTTTTATAGAGATGATGGAGAAAGAGAGTCATCAGTAGTCGTCCAAACGAGACGCTTCAACTGACAACTAAAAACAATCATGCCAAAGCGAACAGATATAGAAAAAATCTTAATTATAGGGTCCGGTGCGATTATCATCGGACAGGCGTGCGAGTTCGATTACTCCGGAACGCAGGCGTGTAAGGCACTCAGGGAGGAAGGGTATGAGATTACCCTTGTCAACAGCAACCCCGCCACCATCATGACCGATCCGGATTTCGCTGACCAGACCTACATTGAACCGATCACAGCGGATACGGTGGAACTTATCATCGACAAGGAGCGTCCAGATGCCTTGCTACCGACGCTCGGTGGCCAAACCGCTTTGAACGTGTCTGTCGAACTCGCGGAATCCGGTGTATTAGATAAGTACAGTGTTGAGCTTATTGGTGCGAAATTGCCTGCCATCCAAAAGGCTGAGGACCGCGCGCTCTTCAAAGAAGCGATGACGAAAATCGGGTTGGAGGTTCCTGAGAGTGGCATCGCGCACACTGTGCCAGAAGCACTTGCCCTTGTCCAAGAGATAGGATTTCCGGCGATTATCCGTCCAGCATTTACACTCGGCGGCACTGGTGGCGGTATCGCTTACAATATCGAAGAATACGAAAAAATGGTCACGGCAGGCCTCGTCCTCAGTCCAATCAGTGAATTGCTCATTGAAAAGTCCGTCATCGGATGGAAGGAATTTGAACTTGAGGTGATGCGGGATGGTGCGGACAACGTCGTTATCATCTGTTCCATTGAAAATGTCGATGCCATGGGAGTCCATACCGGCGATAGCATTACCGTCGCGCCTATCCAAACATTAACGGATAAAGAATATCAGCTGATGCGTAATTCGGCGATTAAGATCATCCGCGAGATTGGTGTTGATACAGGCGGCTCCAACATCCAATTTGCTGTTAATCCGAAGACGGGTAAACAAGTTGTCATTGAAATGAACCCGCGTGTCTCCCGTAGTTCCGCGCTTGCCTCAAAAGCCACAGGGTTTCCTATCGCCAAAATCGCAGCAAAACTTGCTGTCGGTTACAATTTAGATGAAATTCCGAACGACATCACCGCTAAAACACCCGCCTGCTTTGAACCAACAATTGATTACGTCGTTGTCAAAATCCCACGCTGGGCGTTTGAAAAGTTCCAAGGCACCGATGAAACACTCACAACACAGATGAAATCCGTCGGTGAAGCGATGGCTATCGGCAGGACCTTTAAAGAAGCATTACAGAAAGGACTGAGATCTTTAGAGAACGGGTGGCACGGATTGGATAACCATCCACTTGATGAACTCCCTCTGTCTGAACTTCCGAGCAAACTGAGTATTCCTAACGTCAAACGAATCTTTTATATCAAAGCCGCCCTCACACGTGGGATGAGCATTGAAGAAATTCATGCCTACACGCATATCGACCCGTTTTTCCTCTACAATTTGAAGGAAATCGTTGACTTTGAAAAGGTTTTGTCCCAACCCGATGCGCGACAACATATAGGACAGCATTTGCAAGGCTCTGCTCCAAATAACGTGTCCCTAAACGGTGAACCTGAGGGTACTAACGCAAAAAAACTCATACAACAAGCAAAACAATTCGGATTTTCCGACCGCCAGTTAGGCGACATCTACGAGGTATCCGAAGAAGCCATCCGCAAATGTCGAAAAAAACTCGGGATTGAAGTAACTTTCAAAACCGTTGACACCTGTGCCGCAGAATTTGAGGCAGAAACCCCATACTATTACTCTACCTGTTCCAGCGAAGATGAGGTGCGTCCCTCCGATAAGCCAAAAATCATGATTCTCGGTGGTGGTCCGAACCGTATCGGGCAGGGCATTGAATTTGATTACTGCTGTGTCCATGCTGCCCTCGCACTCAAAACCGATGGCTATGAAACCATTATGGTGAACAGCAACCCTGAAACCGTTAGCACTGATTACGACACCTCCGATCGACTCTATTTTGAACCGTTGACGCGTGAAGATGTTCTGAATATCTACCATAAAGAGAACCGATCGGGGTCATTGTTCAGTTTGGCGGGCAGACACCGCTAAATCTCGCTATTGCCCTCAGAGACGCAGGCGTGCCGATAATCGGCACCAGTCCTGAAGATATAGCACGTTCGGAAGACCGACGACTCTTTAAAGCAGTATTGGACGATATTGGGTTGATGCAATCGCCTAACGGTACCGCAACGTCAAGTGAGGAAGCTGTGCCTATTGCTGCCGCACTCGGCTATCCGGTTATCGTGCGACCGTCGTATGTTTTGGGCGGACGTGCCATGCAGATCGTTTACGATGAAGAACTCTTGCACGAATATATGAACTCCGCTGTTCAAGCCTCACCAGAGCATCCTGTACTTATCGACAAATATCTTGAAGAAGCAATTGAAGTTGACGTTGATGCAATCTCCGATGGAAACCTCACTGTCATCGGTGGTATTATGGAACACATTGAGGAAGCCGGTATCCATTCTGGAGACAGCGACTGTGTGTTACCGCCTTATACACTCGTAGATGAGCAGATTGAACAACTCAAAACCTTCACATACGACTTGGCGAAAGCTTTGCGCGTCCGCGGTTTGATGAACGCCCAATACGCAATAAAGAACGATGAAATCTATGTGCTGGAGGTAAATCCACGCGCATCCCGAACCATTCCGTTTGTCAGTAAAGCGATCGGTGTGCCATTGGCAAAACTCGCTGCGCGCGTGATGGCGGGTAAGACCCTTGAGGAACTCGGATTTACGAGCGAGATTGAACCCGCCTATTTCAGTGTCAAGGCACCGGTGTTTCCGTTCAACCGCTTTCCCGGTTCAAACACGCGCTTGGGACCCGAAATGAAATCAACTGGCGAGGTAATGGGAATTGATACTGATGTCTCCCGTGCTTTTGCGAAGGCACAGAAGGCATGCGGTTATACTTTACCGCTGAGTGGCAATGTTTTCATCAGTGTTAAAAATAAAGACAAGCGTGCAATCATCTTCATCGCTAAGAAACTTACGGATATGGGCTTTGAACTTATCGCCACACACGGAACTGCAAAGGTACTGCTCCGTAACGGAATGAAGCCAGAACTCGTCTTTAGCATCGGTAAGGGCAGACCAACTATTCACGATTATATCAAGAATCATGCGGTTGACTTGATTATCAACACCCCTACTGGCGACTTACATCGACCCAATGAACTCTTAATTCGTGAAATGGCGATAGCGCACGATATTCCAATTTTCTCAACGATACCCGGCGCATCCGCAGCCGTTAACGCGATTGATGCGCTACAGCGTGGTGATATTACGGTCACGCCGCTCCAAGATTATTTTCAGATGCTTTAAAAGGATAAAAAAATGGCGAATGATTCTATACAGAGAAACACCCGGTGGGTTCAAACCTTCGATCGGATTCTTGAGATGCTAAATCTTGACGCAGATCGCCCGGTGAGCGTCCTGCAAATTGAAGACGGTAGGGAGATTATCGTCGTGCAACCCAACGCTTTCACTATCTCGCGTATCTATGCAACCGGTCGTCCCGATGGCATGCGCCCACACGGTGTGGATTCCTATTACGATTACTTCATCGCAAAATTACGGACGTATGAAGAACAACACGAAACACGGGAAGGGTTCGAGTTGGAGTCAGACGAATGGGAAATCCTCTTTGAGGAATCTTTCCATCGGTATACCCGCTACCTTCTATTCGCAGGCATCAAACGATGGCAAGATGTCCAACGTGATACGGCTACCAATATCGACGTAACGAATTTGGCACGTGAATGCGCACCGTCCGAAATCGCTTGGCAGAGTTATCAGTATAAAGGTTATATGCTCATGATGCACAGCATCGCCAACGCAGAATTGAGTCTGCAAGAAGACGATAACGAGGCAGCGTTACGGCATATTGACGCTGGAATTCAACAGATTGGAGAGTTCTGTGGTGAATGCCTACGTGAGGAACACGGAGAAGCAGAAAATATAACACGTGAACGCTATCTCAGCAACCTTATAGAATTTCGGTCCGATTTGGAGGCACTTGATACTGAAACGGCCGAGTCGGAGAGCGACGAGGAAGATATCTTGGCAGAATTGGAAAGATTGCTAAATGAAGACGACGCATAGCATTAATTGCTCTTAAAACCTTTCATCATTCGCTATACATCTCCATCGTGTGGTGCTTGTATAAGCACACCGCCAAGGAACAGAAACGCTATCCCACGGATGAGTACGTGCAGTTCTATTCCATAGTGTAGGTATCCTCTATGCTTTAGAAAAATACCTACTGGAAAGGCTATTATTGAAATAAAGAACAGATAGCTAGCAACTGGATTTCCCCATGCATAGAGTGCCGAACCATAACAGAGTGCCAGCAACGCGCACAAGAACGCACCGATCATAAAGAGTGCTTCGCCCCACTCCGTCCAGAGTATATAAAAGGATTCGACTATCTCAGTGCGGGCAGTCTCGCCTGCCAATTTCGATAACTCATTTATCGGCGCGGTTTGTGAGCAGTGGGCTACCAATTCTATGACAAGCCATAGGACAGCGATACTCGCTCCTAAAGCACTTCGGGTGTGTGCTTCCGAAGAGAGTAAACCATAACTCGCTAATAGCGTCGGCAGGAGCAAAATAAGTGTGACAACCCCTATTCCATGAAAAATTCCGATTTTTCCAAACTGTTCCGCCGATGGAAGTAAAACAACAGACGATAAACCAAAAATAAACCAAATACTTGACACTAACATAAGGAAGCCGCTTAAGATACCGGTGAGCCCGCCAAGTCTATATAGCGCGCTAAGCTGTTTATCCATTCATTCCTCCGAAAAGTGCTAACAAAGATATTTATGTCGTAGATTATAACTCTATAGTTTACCTAAATTGTTAATTTTAAACAATACTTTTTTGGATTAAAAGCTTTGATCAGAGGATTAGGATATTTTGGTAAAACTTGCAAGCCAAGACTTACTATAAAACGTTAGAAGGTGCTTTCACCATGAACGCTCAGAAAACCGTGCTTATTGTTGATGCCGATCAGGGCGAACGTGAGCTTGTCTGTGAAACGCTTGCAGGTAAAGGGCTTCGTCTCGTTGTCACAGGCAACATGTATCAGGCGTTTCATCAGATTGAGCACCTAAAGGTAGATATTCTTATTGCCCAATTAAAAGCGGAACGGATTGATGGGTTAGCACTCTTAGAAGCGGCGATACAGCACCATCCAGATGTCGGTATCGTTTTTATCACAGAACCGAACATCTTAGAGACTGACATCGGTATCAAAGCGATGCTTGCATATAAAGATACCTATTTCCTGCCGAAACCGGTTAATCCTGTTCATTTGGCGGCACTTCTACAGAGAACGCTCGAAAACCAACGTCTTGCGTTTGAGAACCGTCAACTTCAATCACAAATAGACGAAAAGGAAGGCTTACGCCGTCTCACAGGTAATTCACCCCAAATCATCAAAATTCGGGATATGATCACGCAGGTCGCACCGACAAAAGCGACTGTGATGATTCATGGTGCGCGTGGGACAGGGAAGGAATTGGTCGCCCGTGCAATTCATCACCGAAGTTTGCGGCACGGTTCTCTCATTGCTTTTAATTGTGCAACACTAAACGAAAATCTGGCAGAATCTGAACTCTTCGGACATGAACGCGGCGCATTTAGTGGGGCATATTACCAACGCAAAGGCAGATTTGAACTCGCACACGGCGGCACCCTATTTCTTGACGAAGTTTCACAACTCAGTCTATCCAATCAAGCACGCCTTTTGCGCGTACTTGAAGAACGTGAATTTGAACGGGTCGGCGGCGACAAAACCATTCAGGTGGATGTCCGCTTCGTATGTGCCACAAACCACGATTTAGAAACCGCAGCCAAAAGGCGAGAGTTCCTCCCAGATCTCTACGACCGACTCAATGTGGTGCCTATCCATCTTCCGACGCTTCAAGAACGTATTGAGGATGTTCCGTTGCTCATGAAGGATTTTCTTCATGAGTTTTGCCTACAAAATGGAAAACCCCTGATAACCATCGTACCAGAAGCCATTAGAACGTTGATGAAATACGAATGGCCAGGGAATGTGCGCGAATTGAAAAACTGCATCGAGGGGCTTGTTGTGATGTCCACACAATCGACGCTTCAACAAATTGACTTACCTGAACGCATCCTCAAAGCAACTGGAATAGCGTTTTCAAACCTACTTTCAGTACCCGATGTCTGGGAGTCAGTTGACACAATCGAGAATAAACAGCGTTTAAATGTGCAAGTCGGTATGTCCCTTGATGAAATTAATCGGGAGGCACTACGCGCGACCCTTGAATCTGTGGACAACAACAAAGCAAAAGCCGCGGAAATACTCAAAGTGAGCCGACGCACAATCCAACGAAAAGCAAAAGAATATGGTTTGTCCGACGAACCAGAACTATAGCGTTGTGCCTACATCTCGGTCTTATAGTAAAACCCGAAAATATGTTTACACTTTAAAGAGCAACAATTCCGCGAATACACTCGCTCGCTGGCGAGGTTTTGCGGTGTACGCACCCAAATTTTGCCCACACGCGGCAAAATTTGTCTTTGCTTTACATTTGCGATCTGCATTCCTAACCTCGCCAATGTAAAGTTAATTGTGGGTTTTACTATAATGGTCCTGAGACAACAGTTTCTGTTTATTCGTGTAAACCTGTTTGTAGTAGTCTACGCGTTTGAGTTGCCATGCCGCCGCTTCGTCAATGACGAGAACCGTTCGTGGATGCATCTGTAACACCGATGCTGGCACCTCCGCTGTAATCGGGCCCTCTACCGCGTTCGAGATCGCTTCTGCTTTTGATTCACCGCTCGCCAACAGTAGACACCGTCTCGATTCCATGATTGTACCTACTCCCATTGTAATCGCCATCTTCGGAACAGCATCAACAATGTCGCCGAAATGCGGCGCGTTCGCCTCAAGGGTACTCTGCGACAGCGTTTTAACGCGAGTCCGGGAGCCGAGGGAAGAACTCGGTTCATTAAAACCGATATGTCCGTCTTTTCCGATGCCGAGTACTTGGATGTCAATACCGCCAGCATTCACAATCGCCGCTTCGTACCTCTCACAGAATTCCTCATGTCCGACCACTGTACTCTGTGGATATGGCAATTCTCCGCCGGAATATTGACGGCATTAAAAAAGTGGGTCGCCATAAAGGTATGGTAGCTAGACGGATGATTCGGTGGAATCCCGACGTACTCATCAAGGTTAAAAGTCGTCACGTCTGAGAAATCAAGTCCATCTGTTTTATGCATCCGTACTAAGGCTTCGTAAAGCCCGATCGGTGTGCTGCCGGTGGCGAGTCCCAAAACAAGGTTCGGCTTTTTTAAGAGCGCATCTCGGATGATTCCAGCCGCGACCTCGGCAACCTGCGTATAAGTGGGTTGAATAATTACTTCCATTTATTTTCTAAGTCCGATTTCCAAACGTGATAACACAGTTTGTAGGGCAATGACTGTGTGTGGTCCGTCAGCCTATACATTATCATCTTCTTACCGCCAGAACATGCTTTAGTTTGTGGGATGTAGGCGGGCGTTGTGCTTGAAAGTCAAAATAGATTTGACCTTCAGTCTAAAATGTGGTATAATACTCGTATCGTGTTGGCAAGCATACCAAGCGTTACTTCTCGGTAGCGTGCTTGCCTCCCACTTGGTAGGGGATAAAAGCACAATGCGCGATATACCATGAGAACTTTCAAATATGAGTTTCAACATCAATCGAATGTGCATCCGTCCGGTGGCACCTGCTTGATGATATGTGGCAGGTACATGAGTATTTCCATAAGTGGCAACGTCGGCGATATAAAGACGATTTGCCGTATGCGAACTATAATGCCATGTGCGCGCATCTTACAGAACTGAAACAGACGACTCACCCGCATTGGAATGCGTTAGTGCCGAGTCAAGCCATCCAGAGGAACTCAAGCGTATTGACAAGGCCTATCAGCGTTTTTTCAATAAACTTGGGGGTAGACCGAAAATCAAAAAGCGGTCTAAGTTCAAATCTATCACTTTTCCAAGGACCGCGGGTTGGAAGATCAAAGGCAATCGCATAACGATAACCTTTCGTCAATGGAATCCCGATACGCGTAAGTGGTCGTTTGATAGAGTTCCCTTTACCTTTTTCAAACACCGTGAGTGGACGGGTGATATAAGCACCGTTACTATAAAGCGAGATACATGCGGTGACTATTGGATATGTATCACGACGGATGCGAACAACATTGAAATTCTGCCGACAACAGGTGAGAGCGTTGGGGCAGACTTTGGAATGAAAGACGCATTTTTGACGTTGAACACGGGACAGCAGATACAATCGCCACAATTTTTGAAACAGTCCTTGAAGGAACTCCGCAAACTTAACAAAAGCCTTTCTCGTAAAGTCAAAGGTTCTAATAACTGGTGGCGTGCCGTTAGAGAACTCGCGCGGTTGTATCGGAAACCTATTGCCAACCAACGAAAAGATTGGCACTATAAATTTGCTACTGACTTGTGTCGAAGGTTTGATATGATCGTCACTGAAACACTCAACCTTGATGGCATGAAACCGCTCTGGGGACGCAAAGTCTCCGATCTTTCCTTCGGACAGTTTGTTGAGATATTGCGGTTTAAGTGTTCTAAACATAATCGTGAGTTCCGTCAAGTCGGACAATGGACTGCGACAACAAAACCGTGTAGCGATTGTGGCTACCACAACGAAAACCTTTCTCTTTCTGATAGGCAGTGGACATGCCCTGAATGTGGGTCTCACCACGATAGAGACATAAACGCTGCTATCAATATCTTACGGGCAGGCTTAGCTGTCCCTGTGGAGCAGATGTAAGACGTTTCCTCGGAAACGCTAACTGCTACGAAGCACAAGCCCCAACCTTTAGGTTGTGGGTACTATGACTGTTCAGACGGTTTATTTAATCTGATATTACACAATGCCAGCGATAATTTTACGCATATCATCGCTGATGCTATGCACTCTGCCTTCTGGGTTGTCCCCATCAACGGGTAGTTCCGCTGTCATGTATCATCATATCCGATATCTTCAAATGCTTCCATGACGGCGTTCCAATTGATTGTGCAGTCTTCAATTAGATAGGTGAACCGAGTCTCATTTGCGTTGAACCCTTTGACGTGGACTTTAGAGATACGACTTCCCAGAGAGCGAATCCAGTGTTGTGGGTATCCGTACAGTACGATGTTTCCTACATCAAAATAGGCGGTCACCGTTTCACTTTCAAACTCGTCAAGATAGCGACAAAATTCTATCGGGCTGAGCAGAAATTTATTCCAAACGTTCTCAAGCGCAATTGTGATGTCCTTCGCTTTGGCATCTGGAATCAGTTTATGAATTTCCGCTTGTGAACGTTGATATGCGTCCTCATAGCTGGTCTTATCATTGACAACGGCAGGAACGAGCAGCACAACGTCTGCTCCGACAGCCGTCGCGGTTGCTATTGAATCAAGCATTCCGGCTCGCGAATCGGCGCGAACATCAGCATCTTCATCAGAAAGCGGAGATCCCCAATGTTTGCTATTCATCACACTGATGACCTCTAAGCCGTGTTGTGTGGCAATCTCTTTAGTCTCGTGTCGATCATCATCATTTCCGAGAGTGCCGATTTCAACACCGTCAAATCCTGCTTCTTTCGCAAGTTAAACCGCGCTTCGGTCGAATTGCCGGGTACTGAGCCGATACATATTCCTTTTTTCATCTATTTTCCCTTTCGGCTTGCGCCGTTTGAATCTTTGAGCGTAGTTTGCTGTATGTATCCACATTTGGTGCTAACGAAATAGCTTGATTAATAGCGTCCAAAGCCTGCACATACTGTGCATTGCGGTAGTAGGTGTACGCCAGTGTGTCATAGTGTTTCGCCGTAGGTGCCAAAGCGACTGCCTGCTGTGCCAAATGGATCGCTTGTTGCATCTCTTTACCGAGTCCAGCATAGAGACGCGCGAGGTTGTTGTGTGCCTCTGCTGCTGTGTTATCAACAGCAATTGCACGTTCGAACGCTGCAATTGCTGGATCAAATTGATGTTGATTGATATAGATAACGCCCAATTTTATCTGGATTTGCGAGTTATCTGGCACAATTTCTGCGGCTTTCTCATACACCCGGACCGCTTTCTCAAGTGCACGTTGTTCGACAAATACCCCGCCGAGGTGAAGATACGCTGGCAGATAGGACGGGTGCACCTGCGTGGCAACTTCGTAAATCTGTGCTGCTTCTGTTAAGTTGCCATAAGTCTCGTGAAGTTCACCCAATTTGATGTATAGCACCGGCACGTTCGGATTTGTGTAGAGTGCCTCCCGGAATCGGTGCATCTGATCCTCGTAGGTTTTTAAGCGTTGGAACTGTGCCATAGCAGCTTCGGCTTGTGTTTTGTCTCCAAGCTTTTGGTACGTGAGTGCGCGCCTATAATGCGTCTGCGATGAATATCGGTTTCGCACGAGTGCGGCATCGTAATATTCCATAGCCTGCTGGAAGCGATTCTGCATCTCCGCTACTCTACCCAATCCGTAGTAAGATTCAGTATGGTTTGGGTTCAGGCGGATACCCTCCCGGTAAGCCTTTTCAGCAGCATTGAATCTGCGTTGGAGAATGTATACATCGCCAAGATGTATATGTGCTTCTGCGGTTTCTGTCAACAGCGTGAGTGCTTGTTTAAGGTGATTTTCAGCAAACGGTAACTCGCCTTGCGCTTTGTAGACGATACCTAAATGAAGGTGTGCGTTCCCATGCACTTCTTGTGGTGCTTTAAGTGTCAATGCTTTCTGATATGCTGATGCAGCCTGGTCCAGGTTATTGAGTTCCTGATAGATAATACCGATATAGTATTGGGCGAGGCTGCTAATGTCCGCTGCGGTAGCAAATTCTTTTTGGATGGCTTGAAATTCGGCGAGTGCGAGATTATACTGCTCCGCATCAAGGTAACGAACACCGCGTTCAAATCGGGTGTTAACTTCCTGTTCAGCATCGCACCACTCTGCTGTCAGTGAAAGCGAGATAAGCAGGGCAAAAGAGAAGATAAGGCTTTTCTCTATGGGGGGTAGGAAACATCGACGAGTAGACATGCATTGATGAGAATATGAATAGGGACAGCATGAGAGCCGTCCCTACAGTTCAGGGTGTGAAATTAATCACGACGCGTCTTCATTTGTCCCCACGTCGTGGCGAGTTTGTCCTCCGGTTCAACAGGCAGGAGTTTGCCATCCATAATATCTTCAACCTCGTCGGCATCAACTGCCCTATCGTAGACATAGAGATCATCAAGGTAGAACTTCGCAGATTGATAACCCGTTTTACCGATATACATTTTCTCTGCTCCTTGCCTATGCTCTTTCGGGACACCCGGTTCCGCGACTTTTTTGCCATTGACATAGAACGCCAACTTGGCATCTTCTTTAACACCTGCGATATGATACCATTCGCCGATTTCAAACGTATCGTTTTCTCCATCAGGACCTGCGCAATTTGTGCCCTGGTTACCAGGTTCAAACCGATAGTGGATGTGCAGAGGCACACGGTTACAGGTCCATATACCGGGTGAACGGTCGGAGCCAGGTGCCTTTTTCGCGATAATTTGATCCCAGCCACCGGAGTTCGCTTTAGTGAAGTTGAGCCAGAAGAGAAAGGAGTTATCCGTATAATCTTCTAACTCTTTGAAGGTATCAACTGTCACACTGTCACCGGGTCCGTCGAATAATATCGCGCCTTTGCCGTGGACAACCTCATCGGTGACAATTTTCGCGCCATCAACCAGGTCACCATCATTTTTGCCACCGGTTTCATCTATAATCTTTCCGCCTTTTTCTGAATCGAAACTGAAGTAAAGGATTAAGCCGTCGTCTTGAACTGCGGCATGTGTGGTGAGCGTGCTGCCTACCATTAGTAAGGCAACAGCGAGTACATACATAACTAAACGCATAAGTAACCTCCTCATGTCTTAAACAAATTAATGTGCTATGCGAGGACCTGTATTAGGGGCAGCTTCCAACCGTCCCTTGATAGAAAGGCTCGCGTTTTAACCCACAAAGGTATTTTAATAGAAACGCTTAAATATGTCAAGAAAAAGATGATGCCTGATTTCGGATATACCTACAATTAAGTAAAACGAAGGAAGCTCAAGATAGGTGAAATTCAAGACTGTTCCTGTATTGTAAGGAACAAATAAAAACCAAATAGGTATGGGTAGGAAAATGAATGTGGGACGGTATGAGAACCGTCCCAACATTTCAGGGTGTGAAATTAATCACGACGTGTCTTCAGTTGTCCCCACGTCGTAGCGAGTTTGTCTTTCGGTTCAACAGGGGTGAGATTACCCTCCATAACATTTACGACCTCAGCAGCACTGAGTGCTCTATCGTAGACAAAGAGCTCGTCGAGGTAGAAAAGCGCAGAAGCATAACCCGTTTTGCCGATATACAGTTTTTCTGTCCCTTGTGCATGAGCTTCGGGAACAGTCTGTTCATCGACCACTTCGCCATTCATGTAAAACTTGAATTGGTTACCTTCTTTGATACCGGCAACGTGGTGCCAGTCCCCGATTCCAAATTCATCACCTTCACCATCAGGACCGACACAAAGGCTTCCGGCGTTTCCTGGATTGAAACGGTAGTGGATGTGCAAAGTTACGCGGTTACAGGTCCATATACCCGGAGATCGGTCAGAACCGGGCGCCTTTTTCGCGATGATTTGATTCCAGGCACCGGAGTTCGGCACAACAAAGTTGAGCCAGAAGAGATAGGAGTTGTCCGTATACTCTTCTAATTCTTTGAAGGAATCGACCGCCACACCGTCATCGCCATCGTCGCAGTACAACGATCCTTTACCGTGGACGACTTCATCGGTAGCAATCTCCGCGCCAGTGATTAGGCCATCATTCCCGCCACCGGTTCCATCTTCAACGAATCCGTCTGTTTGTGAATCGAAACTGAAGTAAAGGATTAAACCCTCGTCTTGAACTAAGGCATGTGTGGTGAGCGCACTACCTACGATTAGTAGCGCAACAACGAATAAATACGTGATTAAACGCATGAGCAAACCTCTTCATAATCTTAAAGAAATTAATATTCTATGCGAGCAAATTGTATAAGGGACTTTCAACCGACCCTTTTAATTTAATGGAAAGGCTCGCGTTTTAACTTAGAATAATATTATAAAAGAAATACTTAAATATGTCAACGAAAAATTGCATCCGTAACTTCTAATCTAATTTCGCAATAAAAAATTAATGATGTCTGATTTTGGATATGCTATAATTAATAGTAAAACCCACAATTACCTATACATTGGCGAGGTTAGGAAACCTCGCCAGCGATGGGGAAAGTGCGGAATTGTTATTCATTGAAATGTAAACATATTTTCGGGTTTTACTAAAAAGCAAAGCAACAGATGAAATTCGGGACATTTGCAGTATTGTTACTGATATATTGCTGTTCTGTGCTACATTGAAATATAACCGTGAAAGTATTGGAGAAATTCTCATAGCCATAAAGTCTGTTGTACCCAGAATCTGTTTAGCAAGGGAGTATCGCTTTGAAAAAGGTTGCGAGTTAGTAATTGTTTGGTTTTACAGGGAGTTATGCCAAAAATGAAGCCTACCAATAACCAATCTATCTATGTCGTTGCCATCTGTGGAAGCCTGCGGGAGGGGAGTTCAACGCATGCTGCGCTCCAAATCGCACTTTCTGGCGCGAAAGATTCGGGTGCCGAGGTTGAATTGCTTCAACTGAGTGAGTATGAACTCGTTTTTCAAGGCTCTGTCGCTAACGAAGATGACTATCCTGCTGGTGTGTTCAAACTCCGGGAAAAGGTGAAACGCGCACACGGCATACTTCTCGGTTCTCCTGAGTACCATGGCAGCTTCAGCGGTGTCCTTAAAAGTGCACTCGATCTCATGGGCTTTGATGATTTGAGCATAAGGTCGTCGGACTCATCGGTGTCTCCGGTGGACGGATGGGAGCCGTAAACGCGCTTTCTATGTTGCGCACGGTTGGCACCGCGCTCCACGCTTGGGTCGTCCCGAAAGATGCATCTATCCCGAACTCATCTAAGGCATTTGATGCTGAGGGTAATTTGCACGACCCTGAATTAGCTGCACGCGTCAAAGCCGTAGGCGAACAGGTTACCGAATTCGCAGCACTTCGGAATTCAGTATAAATCTAAAACTATAACGAATTGAAATACATAGAATCCGGCAGGGTAAATGGATACAATACACAATTGGAATGCATGGATTGGCACAGATGAAGCGGGCAAAGGTGATTATTTCGGTCCACTCGTTGCTGCAGCAGTTTACGTGGATGCAGAATGCCGCGAAACTTTCTCAGATATGGGTATTACTGATGGGAAAAACTATCAAACCGTCGTATCCAAAAGCTTGCGGAATCGATGCGCTGTCGCTATGCGGAACACATCGTTGTCGTGGAAAAAATGCCTACTGAATACAACTCCCTTTACGCCACTCTCCGCAGGCGGGGGCAAAACCTAAACCATCTGCTCGCGTCGCTCCATGCTGAAGCTATAGATACATTGGCAAACAGCTCGGCGCGAAACACGCACTTGTTGACCAGTTTTCTAAAGATGATCTGATCACACGGCAGCTAAACCAACGAACAAATAACGCCCCGTCTTTACAGCATGGAGATGCTTCTATTGCCTTTGGGATAGAAATAAAACAGGTCACAAAGGCAGAACGCGATATAGCGGTCGCCGCTGCCTCCATCATCGCCCGCGATGCTTTTCTAACCGGGATGGATACGTTGTCCGAAAAATATGAGATTTGCTTACCGAGGGGCGCGTACCAGGTTGTGGAAGCCGGTAGAGAATTTGTGAAACTGCACGGAAGTGAAGCGTTGGGAAAAGTAGCGAAACTCCATTTTAATTTGACCGATGCTGTCCGTGCCTCATAAACAGCATAACACGAGAGAAATTATGGAAGAATTGTTTAGTATTCATTACGCCGAAGTTGGACTCAAAGGGAAGAATAGGGCATTTTTTGAAAAAAAACTTGCAAACAATATCAAACTGTCCCTGCAAGGTACCGGTTATGCTGAAGTAAAGCGGCTTCACGATAGAATCCTCGTACACCTTGGTCAACACGCCGACATCACTGAAATTAAGGAACGGCTGCGGCAAGTCATGGGTATCGCCCATTTCGAGCTTTCATGCCGTACCGAAAACAACATCGTAGCCATTAAAGAGGCGGCACTACGACAAATCCAAGATGTTTCGTGCGAATCCCTTAAAGTTGAGACAAGGCGAGCAGACAAAACCTTTCCATTAACTTCCCCGGAGGTTAGTGCCGAAGTTGGCGGCCATCTCATCAAGGAAACCGGAACGCGCGCTGATATGCACAACCCCGACCTCATCTGTTGGATTAAAATAACACACAACGCGGCGTATATTTCCACAGAGAAGCTTCAAGGCCTCGGCGGTTTGCAGTCGGTGTGAGCGGTAAGGTGCTCGTTATGTTGTCCGGCGGGATTGACTCCCCCGTCGCTGCATGGCAAATGATCAAACGCGGCGCGAAAGCCGTTTTTATTCACTTTTATAGCTACCCTTACACGGATAAGGCTTCTTTGGAGAAGGTCATTGAAATTGCCCAGATCTTAGCGGTATCCAACTATCGGAGCACCATCTATCTCGTTCCATTTGCAGATATCCAGCAAACTATTGTCACCGCAACACCCGCGCCGTTCCGGGTTTTGTTGTATCGTAGGATGATGACACGGATCGCTGAGCGTGTTGCCCCTATGGTTGATGCCGAAGCACTCGTTACGGGGGAAAGCCTCGCACAGGTGGCTTCGCAGACGTTGACGAATCTCCGCACGATTGAGGCAATTGCTGAAATCCCTATCCTGCGCCCGCTTATCGGTGAGGACAAGGCTGAAATAATTACAAAAGCACAACGGATAGGGACCTTTGATGTGTCTACACGTCCGCATCAAGACTGTTGCTCACTCTTTGTGCCCAAACACCCAGCCACGCGGGCATCGCTTACCGATTTAGAGAATGCAGAATCGGGTTTAGATGTAGACGCATTGGTTGAAGAAGCACTGAATAACCTCGAAAAACAGGTAGTCGATTAAATTTCGTTTGACGGTAGATTACAGGCGCGCTTTCTGTCAACAGCGCGATAAGACAGATGGCTTCTGAAAAAATACTACTTATTCGACTCAGCTCCCTTGGCGACATCGTGCTTACAACACCCGCGATCCGCGCCGCTCGCGCCCATTTCCCGGACGCGTATATTGCTATGCTTGTAGCAAAACAATCCGCAGAGATCCTCCGTGAAAACCCACACCTTGATGAGATAATTACGTTCGACCGGCTTGCTAAAAACAAGGATACCGGTGAGATGTTGCGGATTATCCGTCACCTTCGTGAGCGAAAATTTACGCTGATCATTGATCTCCAGCGGAAATTTCGCACTGAGATGCTAATGTATTTCAGCGGTGCCGCCGAACGTATCGGGTAAAGGTAGATTCTGTACCGTCCGCGTCCATGAGCAGGGATAACAAACACGCGACAGCACACTATTTCGACATGTTACATGCAGCTGGGATTCCGGCAGAAGATCAGAGGCTGGAACTCTTTCTCTCTGAATCTGAGCGGTTAGATGCGGCGCAGCGGTTTGATACTGCAGGCGTTGCCGATGGTGGATTGAAAGTAGGACTTTTTCCCGGTGCAGGATGGAGAAAGTTGCGCGAATGGATGCCTGAACGCTTCGCTGCCATCGGGGATAGACTTGTAGAACATTTCAACGCCAATGTCCTGATTTTTGGGGGACAAAGTGAGGCGGAACTTGTGCAGACTGTTGCGAATCTTATGAACGCGCGTGCCATTCCGTTTGCGGGTGATCTTCAAATTCGGCAGTTAGCCGCCTGCATTAAAAAATGTGATCTCTTTCTCACCAACGATACCGGTCCGATGCATATCGCCGCAGCGGTCGGAACGCCTACTGTGTCTCTATTCGGTCCCGGCAATCACATCCGATTTCAACCGCTCGGAACATTGCATCAAACCATCCGCCACGCCGTACCCTGTAGTCCCTGTAAGCAGTTCACGGATAAGTGCAAAGACAATATCTGCATGAAAGGCATCGGTGTGGATGAGGTTTGGCAGTCTGTCTCTCGCGCCCTTACGAAAGCCTCCTGACCAGAATAGTGCTAAGGTGTTATCCGCACGCTGCTCAAAGACGCGTAGGTGGTTTTCACCGAGTACTTTTCGTATATCGTCATCAGAATAGCCGCGTTCGCTTAACCCTTCCGCAATTTTGATGAACTCACTGGCATCCTTGAGCAGATCTCCGCCGCCATCAAAATCCGAACCGATGCCGACATAATCGATGCCAGCGATGTCGATTGCGTAGACAATATGGTTAAGCAATTGCACCAGGGGTGGCATTTTCTTCCATCCATCTACAGTAATAAACCCCGGGACAAAGGTGATACCCACAACACCACCATTAGCCGCTAAGGCTTTCAGTTGTTCATTGCTCAAGTTCCGTGAGTGACGGCATAAGGTCTTGCAATTGCTATGAGACGCGATGACCGGATGCTCCGAGATTTCGAGAACATCCCAAAATCCACGTTCGCTGATATGCGAAACATCCACGAGCATCCCTAAACGGTTCATCTCTTTAACTAATGCCATCCCAAACCGGGTCAAGCCGCCCCCCATATCCTCTTCATCATTTCCTGTTGATGCCCATGTATTCGGATTATGGGTTAAGCCAATGGATCGGACACCCACATATAAAGCGAGCGGAGTATATTCAGACTCCGTTCGACTGCCTCACTATTTTCGATGACAAGCACTGCAGCGAGTTTACCCGCTGCCTTCGCCTCGCGAATGTCGCTCGCTTTCCGAACGATGCAGATGTCATCAGCGTTTGCTGTCACTTCTTCATTGAACCACCCGAACGCATCTAACGCATACGCGAGATGGTTTTTCCACGCACGCGTCACGTCAACGGCGAAGAAAGCAGCATCAATGCCACCTTGCCGCATTTTCGGGATGTTGAGTTGGATACCGATGGCTTTCTCTTCGGGTGGAACGGCACCGCGGAGGTAAGCGATCGTGCCAATCGGTTCCATCGGGTTTCGGGCATTTTCGTCAGCAAGACTCACGTTGCCGCGACGAATGTGTGCGACTATGGCATCATTGTGCGAGTCAATCACGAGTGCCTGCTCGTGCAATTCTGCGATCCGCTTATCTAATTGGGGTTGTCTGTTTTTATTTTCCATAGTCCTCAGGCTAAATCCAATACTGTTTGTATCGTTCGTTTGGCTATATCAGGCGTAATCCGTAGTGTTGTCGCAACGGTGTACGGGAGCTTGTGTTGTGCGACATACTCGGATAGATTGATAAGCGTATCAGCAATTGCCTCAGGGTCGACAACTGACAGACGATAGTTAATCTGCAACACTCCAATGCGTGACGATACTGCATCCACGGTTGCGATTGCAACGCAGCCATCAGTAAAATACCGAGCCCTACCAATTCGCCGTGTAAAATATCTCCACTGCTTGCAGATGTTAAGTGCTTCTCAAAAGCGTAAGTAAAATAGTGTTCGCTTCCCTCTTCAACACGACTATGCCCACATAGATTGCAAAGCTGCACTTCCATACAGAGCAGGTCGAGTAGAAGTTTCAGTCCTTTCGGTGTACCGCTGCCGATTTCTCGTGCGTTTTCCAAGAGCGTTTGGAGAAGGGTCTCCCCTATAGCAACCGCCTGCGGTGTAACCTGTTGACCAGATGGGTTCTCGCCCATCTTCTCCGCCTCTTGCCAATCCCACAGTGCCGTTGCGATTGAGAGTACATCTGCTGCACCACTCACTCGCATTGCGGCGGGCGCGTTGCACAGCATATCCATATCTACGATAACACTATCAGGTGTCTTCGTACGGAGATATTGGACACATCCGTTTTCTCTAACACCTGTTGCATCGGTGAGGAAAGCATCTGTTGACAAGATGGTAGGGATGGCGATGAGAGGCAATTCGTTTGCCGATGCAACGTACTTAGCGGTGTCAATTGCCAGACCGCCACCGATGCCGTAAACCACTTCACCTTCGCAGTCTTCGGCAAACGTAGCCATAGCTGCCGGTGTGTTTCCCTCAACGTAGAGAAGCTGATGCGGGTTTATATCAATGCCCTTGACCGCCTCCCAAGCAGGCTCAGTCGTCAAAACGACTGCCTCGCGCCGTTCCTTAATATCAGCAAACGCGCGTGTCAGAATACTCGGCAATCGTCCAATATCTTTTTCAGAATGCTCATCTAATAACATCAGAATCCTCTGGTCTTACTTCACTGACGATGTTAACTCCACAAGATAAATTTGTCGGGAGCCCTCATGAACTGAGTCAAAAGTAATCGTTTTTCCGTCCGGTGCCCAACGTGGGTGTAAATCACATCGGATGTCTCCAGTGAACTGCTTTTCATGATGGAACTCACCCAAGACAATCTTCCGGTTTTCAGCGATATTGTAAACCATCAGTTGCGCTAATCGTTCAGGACCTCGTGGATATGTATCGCACAGTAGCCACTGCCGATCAGGCGAAAATGAGGCGTGTCCATCGTGTGGTAGAACACCGCGTCCGATAGGCTTGAAGTCACGTGTGCCATCTGTAAATTCAACAAACCCCATCTCGTCAACAATGTCTGAAGATACAAGAATCTCCGTCGGGGTTCGCCAATCGAAATGTGACACACGATAACCAAATGGAATTTGCATTGCCAAATCAGAACCGTCAGGATTCACCGTCCAGAGTGAAGTGTAGAATCCTGTTTCTTGACGCACTCGACAAAAAAATAGGAGGCGCGTGCCATCCGTATTAAACAGAACATGGTTGAACCAAGTCCGTTTCCCTACCACCCGGGCATCACCACTTGCTCGGATAACATCGGCGATAGAGAGCACAAGTTTAGAACTTCCATCTTGAAGGTTAAGTTGATATAAACCGTCTTCCTCTGGTTGTGCTTCAATGTCGCTCGATTTGCTGTGGGTAGCGTAGCCGACGACAGCTCGACAATGTGCCATCCGCCCATAGTTCAATCCAATTGCAAGCGGCGCAGTAGGCGACACGGCAGCAATCGCACCTTGTATAGTGCGCACAGCACCGGTATCCGGATTTAAGGCACGTGATATCAGCGCGCCATCCTCCCAATCGTTAAACGTGAATTCTGCAGCAGCGGTAGCGTCTATCCAATGCATCATGCTACCCTGTTGGAGGTTAAAAGCGGTTGTCTTCGTGTGCGGAATAAATTGATGCGTATCACGATCAACCAATCCGACAATCGCCACGTCTTCTGGCACAGGGCGGTGTGTATGAAAATCTGTCTCTAAGGCAAGATGATACCTCGTTGTGCTATCCCACGGATTAATGCCGTAGTACCCGAAAAAATGGTGCTTTGGAGGCATAGACAGTTTTTTTATGTTCATGTTCCTTCTTATATTGAGAGGATACCTACAGCACACCTATCGGCATTATACCCTAACTATATGGTAAAATCTAAAATGGCACCAAACATAATTAAGAGGCATGTTTTCTTTCCCAAAGACATATTGAGACTTTGACCAACAGGCCCTATTAATTTTACTTTTAGTTCTTTATATTTTTTATTGGGTACAAATTTTGAAACCGAAATCCAACTTATATCGTTTTACCATTTAGTCTACATTCTAAGAAAGCCAAAAAAGCTAAGTGGTCACTTCTGAATGAATTCGGCACCTTCCTAAATATAGCGCGCAATAAGCCTTTTTGTATTCTTAACCACAAGCGATCCGGACGATAAAAGAAATGCAATTTGCAGTAAAAACGGATACAGGTAAACTTCGCGATAGGAACGAAGACTTATACTATTTTGATACGCAGCTGCAACTGTTTGCTATCGCCGATGGTATGAGTGGACACGAACGCGGCGACATCGCGAGTCGCATCGCTCTTGAAGTTATTCAAGAGTGGGCGGAAACCCAAGCGTCTCCGCAGAGCGACTTAGGCCCCATGAAACGCCTCGGTGTTCTGAGCGATCTTGCGGAGGAAGCAAATCAGCGTATCTACACTTCCGCCGAGAGTCAAGGCAAAGGTCGCGGCATGGGTACAACCCTCATCGCGGGTTTTGTTACTTTTAGTTACCTCGCCTATGTTCATGTCGGTGATAGCAGACTCTATGTCTTACGCGATGAAAAACTCACACAGATAACGACAGATGACTCCTTCGTTCAAAAAATGGTCGAAAAAGGTGAAATAACACCAGAAGAGGGACGCGTCCATGAAAAACGGAACATCATTACACAGGCTATCGGCTTGCAGTCAGTGGTTACCGTCAATGCAGACGCATATCCGCTTGTCCCCGGTGATATTGTCCTCGCCTGTACCGATGGGTTGCATGACCTCATTATCAACGACCGCGAGATTGCCGATATTCTCTTGTCTGCTTCCGGTATTGAAGAGGCATGTGAGAATCTCGTCAGCAAGGCACTTGATTATGGAGGCACCGATAACGTTACGGTCCTTCTCGTAGCTGTTGATTAACGCCTACCTTCTCCGGCTTCCCTTTTTCAGATTTGTAAGTTCTCCAAAAACGCAATTATAGTTCCGATGTACTTTCCCCGTGGTCTCCAAAAACCAACACACCGTCTGGGTCTGCCTCTTCTTTCAGTGCTTCCACATGTAAGGGCATTGTTAACTCCGGCAATTCAACCCGCCCCGCTTCAGCCCATAAGCGTTCGAGGTTATAATAAGCACGTCTTTCAGACAGAAAGACATGAACAACAAAATCAACGTAGTCTAACAGAATCCAATCTGCTTTACGTGCGCCTTCCTGATGCCAAGGTTTCTGTGACCAGTTGCTTTCAAGTTCTTCAAGAACGGCTTGTGAAATACCTTCTACTTGGATGTCCGAGACACCACTGAAGATCGCAAAGAAGTCCGTGAAACCATCAAGTTCACGTAAATCAAGAATAATGCCATCTTGTGCGCGTCGGCTCATCGCTGCCTCAGCAGCGGCTTTTACCATGTCCAATGTGTTTTTTTCGTTTTCCATTGTAAATTCCTTTAAGTCTCAACACTCTCTAACGTACTGTTGTAGGTATGAAGCGTATTCGGATGAATCATCACGCCTTTATCCAGGAGGTGTTCAATCTTCGCGCGAGCGACACGATGAACGGCACGCCCTAAGTCTGTGTATGCTAACTCCCGCACCACATGAACCGCATTATGTGTCCGAGTCAGTTCCGCAAAGTCCGCTACGTATAATACCTGTGATATAACCCCCATTGATGGATTCCCGGTTGTGTGGTTCCGAATGGCTTCGAGTACCTCAAGTTCTGTTACAGCAAACTGCTCAATTGCCAATTTCACGCCTATAATTGGATGCAAGAGCGAAGGGTTTACCTTTTCAATCGGATCAAGACGAATTTCATAGCAGCGTACTGCGCTATATAATTCTTTAGCGTTCATCCATTTCGCGCTGTCATGTAAAAGCGCAGCAAGACTTGCGTGCCAAACATCCACTTTATGAACACATGCGAGATCAACCGCCATCTCTTGTACGGCGAGAACATGCTGAAGCCGTTTTGCACTCAATTTGTCTGAGAGATACTGTTGAATTTCAATCGACTTCGGATGTGCCCGGAGTTCTGCAAGTGTGGTGTCTATCTGATCGTATACGTAGTCCAATTAATCTTTCTCATCGTCAATGCGAATCCCTAATTCGGCTAATTCAGCAAGAAGTTCTCGTTCAGTATCAGACAAAATTGTGTCCGGCAAAGGGGTGCTAATAGCATATTCCTCATTAATCCATTTGGCGAGATCCGCTGCCTTACACCGGGCACTACAGAATGGAAAATTTTTGGGTAAAGGGGTCCCGACTTCCCACACAAAGTCGTAAACTTTTCCGCACATACTGCATGTGTGTTCCACGTTTTTAATGTCCTTATTCTCTGATTTTGGTGTCTCAATTTTTAAACGGATACTACCAGTTATTGATACAACCGATACCGATGAATATAAGTTTCGACTGTTTCTGGCACGAGATACCGGATTGAAAGCCCTTTCCGAATCCGTTCACGAATGGCTGTAGCAGATATATCCACACCGGTTATCGGAAAGGTCGTAACCCGTTTGCGAACCTCCAATGGAACCCGGTTCAGGTCGTAATTCGGACGTGTCGTTGCAATCATAACACATCTCGCCAAAACCTCGTTGAAGTCTCTCCAGACTTTATACTCAATGAGCGAATCCGCACCGATGATCCATGCGAGTTCAGTCGTCTCTCCGTAAATTTTTTGCAAAGCTTTCAGCGTCTCAATGGTATATGATGGGCCAGCACGTTCCAATTCTATCCGAGACACTTCAAAATGTGGATGCTCCGCAATCGCCAAAAGGACCATCTGATATCGGTGTTCCGGTTCAATAATATCGGCATCTGTTACCTTATGCGGGGGTCTGGCAGAAGGAATAAACAATATCTCGTCGTAGCCTAATCCGACCCGGACCTGTTCAGCACTAAGCAGATGCGCGTAGTGAATCGGGTTGAATGTTCCACCCATCACAGCGATTCTTTGGGTTGTTTTCAGCATCAGAATGTCCAGCAAATGTGAACTTGATGTAATAAGTCTCGCGCTTCTCCACGCTCCTTAAAGTATACGGGTTTACACGAGAAAAGTCAACGGGAAAATCGTGGCGCGTTAAGCTCCGTGTACACGAGCCTTGTAATCGTCATAAGCCCGCTCAATTTGTTTCGCGGATTCTTCGGGACCGAGGAAATGCGCCCCGGTCAACACAACAGGCGGTTTCCCACGTTCTGTCAGCAGTTCAGCGACTCGGCACTTAATCGCATTGACAATCGATAGTGTCCCGATGCTCGACGTAGGTCCCACTGGATAAGCCAAATTTGGGATTTCTACAACTGCATCGCCCGGCGGATTGCAGTTGTCAATCGTTAGATCCGCGATTTCAAAAAGCCGTTTGCCAGAGGTGTGCTTTGAGGTAGATGAACGACTGTGCGCGATGGAACTCACAGCGATGACAGGCAGATTCCGCGCTTTCGCTCCCATTGCTATTTCAATAGGGAGGATATTCGTTCCAGAATTGGAAAATACCACCATGCAGTCGTGAGGACCGAAAGTGAAATTGCGTAAGATCACTTCTGCATATCCTGAGATGTTCTCCAAGAAAAGTGCCTGCCGCTGACCGTTGCAACCGACGACTTGATTGTGATAAGTAACCGCTAATTCCACGATTGGAAAGAAACCCGGAAAACTTCCATAACGGGGGAACATTTCCTCGACTGCCATGCGGGAATGTCCCGATCCAAATAGGTAGACGAGACCGTCTTCAGCTATTGTTTCAGCACACATATCGGAGGCTTGTGCAATCGTGTCGGTCTGCGTCGCTTCAATCTGTTTCAAAATGTCTTGTGCAGTGTGTAGATAACTTAGATGGGAAGTACTCATAATGTTGTTGTCTGCTGTAGAGTTATTCAGTTTTCGATTTTTCGGTCAGATTTTCCACCCAGGCCCGGTAGGTGCGGTTTTGCGGTGTACTCACCCAAATGCGATCTGCATTCCTAACCGCACCGGATCGTGAAAAAAAGGCGAAAAACCCCATAATTTCTTAAAACTGAATGACTCTGTTGTCTGCTGTAGCCTCAATCGCTTAATTTTTGAATTTATAAAGTGTAACGCGTATATCCATATCGCTAAAATACCAGCATCTATTCTATCACAATTCTGACATGTTTACAACGTTTTTTGGAGATTTTCAGAGGCATTCAGTTCTCCTTAATTTCGATTTTCTGCTGGTAGGCTCTTCGCTGTAGGAGCGACCTCCCGGTCGCGACTCTTCCCTAAAATCGGTTTTTGAATACAGAATCGGGAATTTGATGCTTCTAAAGTTTGGTGTCAAGAACTTTACACACCCTCCGGATCAGGAGGATCGCGATCATCGGGGAGCGTCAGATTTTCGTTCTGTGCCCGCTTGTTATACCAAATTAACCCCAGTTGTAGCGCGAGGTCCCTGTGCCTCGCAAGGCTCACTTGATCAAAAAACTTCTAATCAAGATAAGTGGGTATGATACCAAATTAACCCCAGTTGTAGCGCGAGGTCCCTGTGCCTCGCAAGGCTCACTTGATCAAAAAACTTCTAATCAAGATAAGTGGGTATGATACCAAATTAACCCCAGTTGTAGCGCGAGGTCCCTGTGCCTCGCAAGGCTCACTTGATCAAAAAACTTCTAATCAAGATAAGTGGGTATGATACCCAATTAACCCCAGTTGTAGCGCGAGGGTCCCTGTGCCTCGCAAGGCTCACTTGATCAAAAAACTTCTAATCAAGATAAGTGGGTATGATACCAAATTAACCCCAGTTGTAGCGCGAGGTCCCTGTGCCTCGCAATACTGACTTGATCAAAAAACTTCTAATCAAGATAAGTGGGTATGATACCAAATTAACCCCAGTTGTAGCGCGAGGTCCCTGTGCCTCGCAAGGCTCACTTGATCAAAAGACTTCTAATCAAGATAAGTGGGTATTACTTGAGTTCGTGAGCGTTGATGGTTTGAGGTAAACCCCGCTGCGTTGTGCGAATTCAGATGCTTTCAACTGGGTGATCGCGATGGCTTTGATATTCATCGCGATGATTTTTGGGTTCATAGCGATCAAAGACAAATATTGGAGGTGATTTTTTGAGAATCGAGATTCAAGGATTAGATGAATTGGAGCGTTAACTTGAGAAGTTGGAACAGATTGTTACGGATTTTCCATCTTTTTTCAGGAAGTACCTGACGATGGATTTACTATAGAGCAGGTCGGTCATAATAAGTAGTTTTTGGACTTGCTATTTCAGCACGCCCTGTTCTTTCAATCGTGAAATCAGTTCTGCTTGCGTACCTTTACCTTTCGTTGAATTGCACGCAGCACAAAGCAATTGTAGGTTCTCTATATGGTCAGTGCCATCTTTGATTTGTGGTGTGATATGGTCTACCGTCAAGTTGCGAAAATGGAATGGACATTGACACCCATTGCATTTGCCTTGCTGCCTACCAAATAACTCCGGTTTGTGCGTTTGGTATCTGGGTAAACGCTTCTGAACAGATATCTCTTCAGCGTTGTCTGTCCGTTCCGGTGCGTCTTTGCGAACAATCACATCTGTCAACGGGTTGAATAAATCAGCGGCTTTGTCTACTTCATCCGACAACCGCAACTTCGTGATGTCCTCCGCATCGGGTGATATGTCTATGCCAATCCAGTTCCGACGTAAACGCTCTGCTGCTACACACGCCGTAGCACATCCACAGAACGGGTCTAATACTATGTCCCCTTCATTTGATGACGCTTTGATGATGCGTTCTAAGAGAGCGAGGGGCTTCTGCGTCGGATAGCCAGTGTCTTCTTTGCCCTTTACAGGTGGAGTATCAAGAACCAAGTCCCCTGCTACAACACCTGGCATCGCAGATAAATACTTCTTCCACCGCGGTCTGCCTATTTTACCTTTGGGCCAGTGCAGCAGTCCAGCATCATCAAGAACTTCACATTTTGCCAGTTGGTCGAGATCTTCATAATTATCTGGCAACAGTGCCTGTGCAGAGGCAGGAAATTTGTTGCGAGCAGGTGGTGCCCATGCCCGACCAGGAGGAGGTTCAATGCCTTTCAATGGCATATAAGCCTTTCTGCTGCCTGCTTTTCCACCCGATAAATCAACTGTTCCGTATTTACCATGTTTGTCCCGACCTCGAAAAGTCTTCTGTATATATTCATCGTCATAGGGAGTATATTGTTGATTCCAAGTTGCCCCCTTGGACTTGATATAGTAAATAATTCGGTCAGTGTTTACCGCGTAGCGTTTCGCCAACGATTTCGTCGATGTCCGCTTCCAAATCACCTCATTCCGAAAGTTATCACTTCCGAACAGCGAGTCCATCAAGGCTTTTAGATAATGGCTTGCAGTCGGATCACAGTGTAGATAGATGCTACCTGTCGGTTTCAAAATACGGTGCATCTCAAACAATCTTACCGCCATTGCCGTTAGGTATATCCTCATAGACTTGTCATGGACAGTTTCAGACGCTTGAATCACCTGATAGAGTTCCTCGTGTTCAGAAGCGATCTGCCCATGCCATTCGTCTTTGACATCCTCATCTGTCCAGATGTCCTTGAATTCTGCCCCCTCTGCTGGTGAACCGATCGGTGCTTTCCACTGTTTGCCAGATTTAAACGGAGGATCAAGATAAATCAGGTCAATCGTATCTGAATCCATGCCCCGCATAATGTCAAGATTGTCAGCAATAAAAAGCGTTCGGTTCCCAAAGTTCATCGTGTACTCCATTTTCCATTTTTTGGGGTTTTGATTCGACTGAAAAACTATCGCGCACTAACAAGCCAGAGCAGCCGCCACGCGATTTCTCTTTTTCATCTGGTGGGGCATGCGTGCGCGCTTTTCCAAATACTGTGTTTGTTAGGGGTTTACAATTCGCTGTTGTTTGAGGGTTTCGATTTCCTGTGTAAGCACTTCAATCTGCCTTTCGAGTGTCTGATCTTTTCTGCTTCGCCATGCGATAAAGGCTTGTGGTAGGGCGATGAGTGCCATTAAAGCAATGATCAACCAGAAAATCAGGCTCAATTGCTTGTCGTTTTGCTCTATTTTAGCGTTGACGGTTTTTATTTCTTGAAAAATGTGCTCTTTCATACGCTTTTCGGATGCGGTGATCTGTACCTTGACTTCCTCGCGGACAATCAAGCAGATTTTATTGAGGTCCGCGTCGGTTAACTCACCGAGAGCAGGCAATGCAATCGCAGAAAAAAGTATCAAGAGGACGAGTATCGTTTTCATGGGGTGTTCCAGTGCCAGTTTGATTTATCCCCGCTACGGTGGGAGGGTGGCAGAACGGCAAGGGTTTCCGATCGTAGCAGTGCCACCCAAAACTGGACACTTCAATTATACCATAAATTTGGAATCGTATACTATAGAAATTATCATTTCTTACAGGGCTATTTAGTTTTCGGTTTTTAGCCCGATTTTGGACCCCCCAGGCCCGGTAGGCGCGGTTTGCAACCGCGCCGGACTTGAAAAAAAGGATCCAAAAATTTAGACAATCCGAGAATTTGTTTAAAACTAAATGACCCTGTCATTTCTTACCCGTAAAAGCATGAAAACGGGTGAATTTTGGTGAGATATTCTTAAATTAAACAACACTGACCAACGCAATTCTTGTGGATTTTAAAGTCAGGGTTGTGTTATAATTTCTTTGGATTTGCTGAATACCTACAATTCCAAAGGGCACGACTCGTATGCCTCAATAAGAAAAGGACACCGTTTTTAATGAAACACATAAAGATTCCCGGAATCAGCAAAGACCTCTCACACCTGATTCTGGGCAGTATGATGTTTTCTCCTGTGAAATTTGACTATAGCACTGAAATGCTTGACGCATTTTTTGAAGCAGGTGGAAATTCCCTCGACACAGCACACGGCTATGGCGGTGGTGATAGTGAGATGTTAATCGGACTCTGGATGCAGCAACGTGGGAACCGAGACGATATTTTTCTCATTGATAAAGGTGGGCACCCACAAGGTAGAGTGCCACGCCCGCGTCTCTCCCCTGAAGAAATCAAAGCCGATCTTGACGAAAGTCTCACACGGCTCCGCACTGATTATATTGACCTTTACATGCTCCATCGCGATGACCCGGTGATTCCAGTCAGCACGATTATCGATTACTTGAACAAGGAAATAGGCGCGGGACGCATCCGAGCCATTGCTGCCTCTAACTGGCAACCGCAACGTATTATTGACGCGAATGCCTACGCATCCGAACACGGACTTGCGGGGTTTGTCTCCTGTAGCAACAATATTAGTCTCGCTGTGCCGATGGAGCCGATGTGGGGCGGTTGCGTCTGCGTTGACGATACCGCACGTGCATGGCATCAGGAGAGCCAATTTCCGTTGATGCCGTGGTCATCACAAGCACGTGGATTCTTTAGCGGTGCTTTTACACCGGAAAATCGTGATAACAGAGATATGGTGCGCGTCTATTACAATGACGAAAACTTTGAGAGACTCACACGCGCAAAAAAATTAGGCGAAAAATACGGCTATTCCCCAATTCAAGTCTCTCTCGCATATTGCTTGAATATTTCATTTCCGGTTTTACCGATTGTTGGACCGGCAAATTTAACTGAAATGGACTCCTCCCTCGGGGCAATGAGGCTTGAACTCTCTGATGCTGAAATGGGATGGCTCAACTTAGAAACGGATGGCGACCCACTATGATTATTCGAATTCTCTCTCTACTCCTCTGTCTCCAATTCATCTTTCTCCCGCTCGGCTTTGCACAAGAAAGCTGAGGTGCCTGAAGCAATCCCGCGATTCCTCGTGGCGGGATCGGTGAAGTCAGTTTGACTTCAGGAGAGATGAAGAGATTTCAGAGTTCTTTCAGTATGATGCGATGGTTTGATGCACAAGGCGGACACTTAGAAGATAAAGGGATTTTCCCAGACGGAACATTAAAAAAGGTCCCGCAGCACCGACACGAAGTTAAACTGAACATTTTTCGCGTTGATGTCGGGTTGAAATATCATCTCGCCTCCCAGTGGGTGCTGGAAGCGAATGTGCCGTACGAGACCAAAATTCAAGAGGCAACTCTTGAAAAGATTGAGTCGGTCACGCCTGCAGAGTGGGACGCGATTGTGCGCAATCGCGACAATCACCATCGAAATGAAACTTACATCGGACTTACCGATGCGGAGCTTTTCTTAGGTTATCATACGCAGGGACTCCTTATAGAGAACGATTTTTTGATGGGACGGATCGGGACGACGATTCCGTTTGGTAAAACCGAAGAGGATCCGTGGAAGTTAGGGGATGCCGGACTTGAGCATCTCCATATCCAATTCGGCACCGGTACCTTTAATCCCATCGCCGATCTGCATTACGGTTTGCCCCTCTACAAGGGGTTGCGAGCGAGTGCCAGTATCCGTGGTAAGTTGCCGTTCTATGAGAATAGCAAAACTTATCGCAGTTCAAGGGAAATTACCTACACAGGTGGTCTGAATTATAGTCTCAACAATTGGCTTTCGTTCCAAGCAGGCTATCTCGGTTTTTATCAATCCTTCGCCTATTGGGCAGGTGAACAGGACATCAACAGCGGACTCCGATTCAGTATGGCATCGTTCGGCGCATCGGTTACAACGCCCTATAACATCCCTTTGTCTCTAACCGTGATGCTGCCTTTGCACCAAGAGACACTTTATGATGACAGTGCTGCTTTACTTGATGGTACATACGAGGAGCAGGATGCCTTTGAATTCGGGCCTCTGATCTCCTTGACAGCTCTATATGCGTTTTAGAATACCGTTTCGCCACCGAAAAAGGGTGTTCCCACAAGAAGATGACAAAATTATCGAAACATCGCTACATAACACAAAGAATCAATTTTAGGGCATTGCTTTCCAGCAGATGTTGCATAGCTCTAATGGCACTCGTTTTTTTTCTCAGTTGTGGGGTGCCCAATAATCCGTATCCGAAATCTGAACAGGACGAGGAAATCTACTACAGCACATTCGCTGAAGAGCCAAAGCACTTCGATCCAGCTGTGTCCTACAGTTCAGACGAATACACGTTCATCCAGCAGATTTATGAACCGCCTTTACGGTATCATTACCTGAAACGCCCATACGAATTGATCCCGCTAACGGCAGAGGCGGTCCCACAGCCCCAATATTACAACACTGGCGGAAAAGAGTTATCATCAGATACCGCTGCAGCGTTTGTCGCGCGCGCTGTGTATGAGATTCGCATCCGTCCCGGTATCATGTATCAGCCACACCCCTGTTTCGCAAAGACTGAAAGCGGCGTATTGCGGTACCACACCTTGGAAAAAGCAGACGTGAAGGGCTTTACCGAGATCAACGATTTTTCGATGACAGGAACACGTGAGCTTATCGCAGCGGATTATGTCTACCAGATCAAACGGATGGCGGATCCGCGTCTCGCCTGTCCTATTCTTAGCACTTTGCAGGATTATATCCTCGGGATGGAAACGTATTCAACCGCCCTTGCTAACGGACAGGAAGAGGCAACCTTTCCGGGGGTGGAGGTTGTCGATCGGTATACTTATCGGGTTATCCTAAAGGCGAAATATCCACAGTTTATCTACTGGTTGGCGATGCCCTTCTTTTCGCCGATGCCTAAAGAGGCGATCGACTTTTACAGCCAACCCGTTATGAAGGAGCGGAACATCACGATTGATAGGTTCCCTGTGGGAACCGGTGCCTATCGGATAGAAACACTCCTCGCACATAAGGAGATCGTTCTCGTCAAGAATGAGAATTTTCGGGTCGAGCGTTACCCGTCGGGTGGAGAGCCGGGAGATCGAGATGCCGGACTTCTTGACGACGCGTGGGAAACCGTCCCGTTTATACCGAAAGTTGTCTACAAATTAGAAAAAGAATATATTCCGCGCTGGAATAAGTTCTTGCAAGGTTATTACGATAGTTCCGGTATCTCCTCAGATACATTTGACAGTGCAATTGCGTTCGATGATACGGGGGATCCGAGGGCAAGTGAGGCATTGAAAGCGAAACATATCGTCCTGCGCACCAGCGTGGAACCCACAACGATTTATCTCGCTTTCAATATGTTAGACGATACCGTCGGTGGGTACACCCCAGAGAAACAGAAACTTCGCCAAGCGATTTCGATCGCCTTGGATTACGAAGAGTATATTGAAATCTTTCTCAATGGACGTGGTGTTGCGTCACACAGTCCGCTGCCCCCCGGTATCTTCGGCTATGAAGCGGGTGAATCTGGAATTAATCCGTATATCTACGACTGGGATGCAAGCACCAACCGTCCGGTTCGCAAATCTATTGAAGCAGCACGTCAACTCCTCGCAGAAGCAGGCTACCCCGGCGGACAAGATAGTAAGGGGAATCCGCTGATTGTCTCTTTTGACAACACATGGAATTCTGCAGGGGCGACTTCCCAATTAATGTGGATGCGGAATAAATTAGAACAGCTCGGCATTACGATGGAGAGTCGAACCACCGATTACAATCGTTTCCGCGACAAAGTGAAAAACGGGAACTTCCAAATCATCTTCTGGGGCTGGCATGCGGACTATCCCGATGCAGAAAATTTCTTGTTCCTCCTCCACGGTCCGAATAGTAAAGCCTTACGCGATGGTGAAAATGCTGCCAACTACGATAATCCAGAATACAACCGGCTCTTTGAAAAGATGAAAAACATGGAGAACTCGCCGGAACGGTTGACACTCATTCGCGAAATGAACCGTCTGTTACAACGAGATGCCCCTTGGGTCTTTGTCTATCACCCTGTCGTTTTCGGTTTGTCGCATCAGTGGTTGAAGAACAGTAAACCGAGTGCCTTGGGGCGTGGAAACTTCAAATATCTCCGCATTGATGCCAGTCAGCGGACAGAAAGCCGTCAAGCGTGGAACCAGCCAATTGTTTGGCCCCTATGGGTATGCCTCGGATTGCTGATTTTAGGCACGATTCCGGCGGTCATCACAATTTGGAAACGAGAAAGACAGACAAAACAGACGCACATTGCTGACGAAGGGTCATAAAATTAAAAATATCGGATGGGTTTACTTGTCCCAACCGAAGTAGTCGCAGTTTCGTAAAAAATCTATTGCGCTGGTGAAGAATGCTCACTTATATTATACGGCGAGTTCTTTATGCGATCCCGATCTTAATAGGCGTGAACCTCATCGTCTTTTTCCTCTTTTTTGTCGTCAATTCACCCGACCAGATGGCACGGAAGATTCTCGGTGAAAAGAATATTACGCAGGAAGACGTTGACAATTGGAAGAAACAGAACGGCTATCACTTGCCCCTCTTCTTCAATACTGAGGCATCTGGCGGTGCCCATTTTACTGAGACGATCTTCTTTCAGAAATCAGCGAAGCTTTTCCTCTTTGATTTCGGGAAATCTGATACGAACAACATTGATATAACATCACAGATCTCGCAGCGCATGTGGGCAAGTCTCGCTATTGCTTTGCCGACGTTCCTTGTCGGACTTCTCGTAAATATCACTGTTTCAATGATTGTGGCGTACTACCGAGCCACCTACGTCGATTTCTGGAGCACGATCATTGCGGTGATGGTTATGTCTATTTCTCAACTTTTTTATATCATTGGTGGGCAGTGGTTGTTTGGAAAAATGCTGCGCCTCTCACCGATCTCTGGCTATGATTCCGGTGTAGACATGCTGAAATTTGTGATCATCCCTGTGGTTATCGGTATCGTTAGCGGTATCGGTGGCGGCATCCGCTTCTATCGTACGATTTTCCTTGAGGAGGTAAACCAGGACTATGTACGAACAGCACGTGCCAAAGGCGTGAGCGAAGCGGGTGTTCTCTTTAAACACGCACTGAAAAATGCTATGATCCCGATCCTAACAACTGTCGTGTTGGCGATTCCGCTGCTCTTTATGGGAAGTTTGGTGATGGAGACGTTTTTCGCTATTCCGGGTTTGGGAAGTTTTACGATCGAGGCGATTCAAGCGCAAGATTTCGCTATCGTGCGAAGTATGGTCTATCTCGCTTCTGTACTGTATATCGTCGGGCTGTTGCTAACCGACATCAGTTATACTTTGGTTGATCCGCGCATCCGATTCGGATAAGAAAGTAGGTATATGATTTCACAAAATAGAAGTTATCAAATTATGCAAGGCGTGATGAGCCTCCTATTGGGATGCATCAGTATCGCCTTATTGGTAACACTCCGCGGTTCAGGGCATTCAAATGTAATTCTCTTAGCCTTTCTGGCTGTAGGTATCACCCTAATTTTTTCTGGTGATTATCTTCTCAACCCCTTCAAACTACCGGTCAAACCTATAAAACAGGAAATCGCAAGCGACATCGGTTTGATTGCCTATGGTGTCCTATATTTCAGCATCGCTATGTCAAAACTATTACAACCGCGTTGGTTCACTGTTGGGTTGCCAGTCTTTTTACAACCGATTTGGGTGCGCCGCGGATTAGCAGGCGTCGGGATCGTCCTGATCGCTGCAGGGATTTACGGCATTTATCAATCCTCCCGCCAAGACCCCATGCTTTAGCTTACGGGATGTAGGCGGGCGTTAGATTTTACAGTCAAAAAAACTTGACACACTCAGCAAATTGTGGTATACTATTAATATCAGGTTGGCGGGGCATTACGAGCGTCGCCGCTTGGCGGCGTGCCTGCCTCCCACTCGTAAGGGGATAAACGCCTGATACCTGATGGTATCCCATGAGAACTTTCAAATATGAGTTTCAACATCAATCGAATGTGATCCGTATCGGCAACTTGCTTGACGATATGTGGCAAGTGCATGAATACTTCCACAAGTGGCAACGCCAGCGATATAAAGACGGATTGTCGTATGCGAACTATAATGCTATGGATGCACACGTTAAACAGTTGAAACAGACGACACACCCACATTGGAAAGGGTTGCCGAGTCAAGCGATCCAACAGGAACTTATGCGTATTGACAAGGCATATCAGCGTTTTTTTGATAAACTTGGGGGTAGACCAAAAATCAAAAAGAGACATAAGTTTAAATCTATCACCTTCCCAGGGACCGCGGGTTGGAAGCTCAAAGACAATCGTATCACGATAACCTTTCGTCAATGGAATCCTGACACGGGTAAGTGGCAGTTTGATAGAGTTCCATTTACCTTTTTTAAACACCGCGAGTGGACGGGTGATATAAGACATATCACTATCAAACGTAATGCTTGCGGCGACTATTGGGTATGTATCACAACGAATGCGAACAACATTGAAGTTCTGCCGACAACAGGTGAAAGCGTTGGGGCAGACTTCGGTATGAAAGACGCATTTTTGACGTTGAACACAGGTGAGAAGATACAATCGCCACAATTTCTGAAACAGTCCTTGAAGGAACTCCGCAAACTCAACAAAAGTCTTTCTCGTAAAGTCAAAGGTTCTGGCAATTGGTGGCGTGCTGTTAGAGCACTCGTGCGGTTGTATCAGCATATTGCCAACCAACGCAAAGATTGGCATTGGAAACTTGCCACTGACCTCTGTCGAAGGTTTGATGTCATAGTGACGGAAACTTTGAATCTTGACGGCATGAAACGACTTTGGGGACGCAAAGTCTCCGATCTTTCCTTCGGGCAGTTTGTTGAGATATTGAGGTTTAAGTGTTCTAAACATAATCGTGAGTTCCATCAAGTCGGACGATGGACTGCAACAACTAAACCGTGTAGTGATTGTGGTTACCACAACGGGAATCTTTCTCTCAAGGATAGGCAGTGGGCATGCCCTGAATGTGGTTCTCACCACGATAGAGACATAAACGCTGCTATCAACATCTTACGGGCAGGCTTAGCTGTCCCTGTGGAGCAGATGTAAGACGTTTCCTCGGAAACGCTAACTGCGACGAAGCACAAGCCCTAACCTTTAGGTTGTGGGTACTATGACCATTTATACGCAGAGCAATTGTCGGAAGACCAGTAGAATGAGGTGAGTAAGGAGGAATTCTACATGAAAAAACGATACACCTTGATTTTTTTTAACGGTATTTCTCGGATTACATCTGTCTTCATTAGATATTTTAGCACAGAGTTGTACGCAATTAAGTTTACCAGAACATGCTATAGCTAGATTATGTATACCAAGGAATAAATACCCAAGCGATTTAGATTTTTCGCCAGATGGTAAAACTTTAGCAAGTCTGGTTTATTGTTGTCCAAGGGAGATAATCCTATGGGATATAGAAAATAAAATAGATAAATTAACAATCATAGTTACTAATGATAATTATCGTTCCATCAGATTTTCACCTGATGGTAAAACTTTTGTATGTGGTAATAAACTATACGATACAACAACTGGACAACCTAAATTAATCCTTTCTGATTCAGAAGGATATGAAAATTATGTAATTTATTCGCCAGATGGTAAAACTTTAGCGGGTGCTGGATCAAAAGAAATTCGTTTTTGGAATTCAACTGCAGATCCAATTGCAGATACATCTCCTATAGATATATTGCCTACAGATACATCGGTTATAGATATACCTAAAGATAGTTTTGTAACTACTCCTATAGCGACATCATCTGTAACAGTTCCGGGGATTAAAGAATTAAACTATTCTCCAGACGGGAAAGAATTAGCTATAGCTTGCGACCTTGGTATCTGGATATACGACCCTGAATTAAACGCTGAAAAAATATTTACTTACACGTGAAATGGGCGGACACCAGGGTAGTGTTCAATCTATAGATTATTCGTCTGATGGAAATATTTTAGTAAGCTGTACTTCACGTGATGATGTTCGCTTATGGGATATTAAAGGAAAAAAACATAAGCTTACTCTTTCTAATCCTAGAATCCCAAGCGGAAGTCTTTATGGTCTAAGCAATACAGTCTCTTTTTTATCAGAAAGTAACATGTTTCTAATTGGGACTGCTAGTGGAATACATCTTTATAATGCTCTTAATGGTGAATATAAATACACTCTACCTGAACATGGAAATTATATAGTATCTTCCATATTTTCACCAGATGGAAATATGATAGCAACTGCTAGTAATGATAAAACAATTTTATTATGGGATTTTGGTTCCTATCCAATTGTTAGTATTTCGCCAGATTCGGTTACATCTTTAACTGCTAGTGAAGAATTGTCTTTCGATCTTAAAATTACAAATGGGAAAGACATATCAGGATATCAGGTCACAATAGAATATGATCCCAACGCGCTTGCGTACCAAGAGACCAAATACGGGGATTATTTATCTGAAGAATTACCAGTTCAGCCTATTGTTAATAACCATTCAGGAACAGTTCAACTCGCGTCATTATCCTCATCTGGTACTAATAGTAACGGTGATGGAACACTTGCGACTCTTAAATTTAAAGTAAATGCAATTAAAGGTTCAACACTGGCTTTACGAGATGTGCTTTTATCTAACAATGAAGGTAATAAATCTTATGCATGGATTGAAGGCACACAGTTATTAAATAGTGATATTGCGGAAGGTTGTGCAACCTTTAATATCAAAGATGTGAATAAGGATTGTGTTTTAATATCCAAGATTTAGTACTTGTTGCTTCTAATCTCGGAAGAGGCGGGGATAATCCAGCGGATGTTAATGGGGACAGAACAGTCAATATTAACGACTTGTGCTAGATAATTTGTTTTTATAGCGTTTTGCTTATGCGCGAACGAGGTCTTTGAGTTTCATCAAGGAACGTTCCAAACATTGGTTCACGAAAGCACTGAGAAGACAACTAGCACAAGTCGTAATATTATAGACCTTGTATTAGTCGCTGGAGCCATAGGAGATACGGCAGATGCGCCAGCAATCTATGCGAATACACAAGAGATGTTCTCTGTATCCAATGTGCAACAATGGCTGCGTGAGGCGCGGAAAGTTAACTTAACAGATGCCACATTCCAACGCGGTATTCTAACGTTGAAACAGCTCCTTATAGTACTATCCCCTTAAGAAACCGTACTTTTGCCGAACTACCCAAACCCATTCAACCCGGAAACGTGGATACCGTATCACTTGGCGAGTGCCAGCAACGTATCAATCACCATTTATGGTGTGCAAGGCACGGTCATCCGACGTTTAGAACTCGGTCATCAGCAGGAAGGTTACTATACCAGCAGAAGTCGCGCCGCCTATTGGGATGGCACGAACAATGTTGGCGAACGCGTTGCCAGCGGCATCTATTTTTATCAACTACAGACAGACAACATGTCCTACCTGCGCAAAATGGTAATTCTAAAATAGTATGCACATGCTGTGTTTAATATCTGTCACTTCGCGATAATCACGGCATAACGGAGTGGTGTCTCGCCAACGTTGCGTATCCCATGCAAAACTTGGCAATCGACATGAACGGCTTCGTTGTCACTGATACGGTGTGTCTGTTCGCCAAATAAGACTTCACCTTCCCCAGAAAACACATAGAAAATTTCTTGTCCATCGTGTGTATGCGGTGGATGCGCACGTTTCCCCGGACCGACTTCTGAGATGTGGAGATGAAGCTGCTCCCTGTCTGTCCCTGTTTCAAAGATAAAACGGTCAATACCTTTAATATCGGTTCTGATCTCTTTTTTCATGAGAATTTCTCCCTTTTGATATTGCTTGCGAAACAGTATTTGCTCTAAAAATTTGGAAATTAATGTAGCATGTTCACCAAGAATTGTCAATTTGCAAATCAAATCACAGTATCATTGACTGGAAATTAAGATTTTGATATGCTTTTTCACCAGAGCTTGCAAATTACCGCTCTCGGTATGGTAAAATTTCATCTGATGGTTTAACTTCAAACTCAAGAGAGGTTCATGAATACGAAGAATTTAGTCTCCGAATTTATCGGCACCTTCGCGTTGATTTTTATCGGTGCTGGTGCAGTGGCGATAGATAAGGAGGTTTGATAGGGGCTGCGCTCGCTCACGGTTTAGTCGTTGTGGCGTTTGTCTATGCTTATGGGCACATCTCCGGCACGCATATCAATCCAGCTGTGACACTCGGCTTGCTGATAGCGGGAGAGATCGAATTTGTGGCAGCGATCGGTTACTGGATTGTGCAATTTCTTGGCGGGATCCTGGGCGCGGTTCTGCTTAACGTCGTGCTGCCGAATCCAGGCGATCTGGGTGCAACAATTTTGACTGAAGGTGTTACGCCAGTTCAAGGGCTTATTGTAGAAATTGTGCTCACCTTCTTCCTCGTCAGCACAATTTTCAATACCGCTGTGAGCGGGAAAGCAGGCAATTTCGCTGGTCTCGCGATTGGACTCACACTGATAGCATGTATCCTAATGGGGGGTCCCTTGACACGGGCTTCTCTCAACCCAGCGCGGACATTGGGACCTGCTATTGTCAGCGGCAATTACGCCGACATTTGGCTCTATTTCGTGGGACCGTGCGTCGGTGCAATCCTCGCTGCACTTCTCTATATCGGTGTTTTGAAAGACAAAGGAGAGGCGTAGTACATTTATCACAAGCAAAAAGAGAAGGCTGGCACATTTACGCGCCAGCCTTTTTTATTCGGGTTTACTGGTTGTGTCTTAAGATGCCATTGTAATCGGAACTTCGGTCGGTTTCGCTACTTCCGGTTTCGGAATGGAGAGCGTCAACACACCGTCACTGTATTCGGCTTTGATATCGTCTGTCGCTACTTCCGATGGGAGCGTGAATCTGCGTTGGAAGCTGCCGTACCGGCGTTCAACTCGGCGGTAATTTTGGGTATCGTCAACGTCTCCCTGCCGTTTTTCGCCGCTGAGCGTCAAGAGGTTATCTTTGACAGAGACATGGAGATCGTCTTTTGCGACACCCGGCAATTCGGCGCGGACTTCAAATTTGTCGTCTGTTTCCGAAATATCAACTGAGGGTGCCCAGTTATATGTGCCTGCGTCGGTTCCTGCGCGCAGTGGTGCAAAGAACGGGCTGTAAAATTTGAATGGGTTTCTTGCCGGTCTGTGTAAAGTCAAATAAGTCATTTTCTTCTCCTTTAGTATGAAGGCATTATGCCTCGTATATTTTTGTCCGTGTGCTATTGGACATGCCCCGTGTGCTATCTAACAGACGAGGCACGCCCGAGTCGTTAGATTAGGAATTTACTGTAATCGGGATTTCAGTCGGTTTCGCTGCTTCCACCTTCGGAATTCCGAGTGTCAAGACACCGTCCTTGAATTCCGCTTTGATAGCATCGGTTTCGATGTGTCTTGGCAACGTGAAACTTCTCTGGAAGCTGCCGTACCGTCTTTCGACACGGTGGTAGTTTTTGCCGTCTGTCTCCGCTTCCTGATGCTTTTCACCTTTGATAGTGAGCAAGTTGTCGGTCACGGAGACGTTGACATCCTTTTCCGACACACCGGGAAGTTCGGCGCGGATCTCAAATCCATTTTCCGTTTCAGAAACGTCAACCGTAGGCATCCAAGCGGTATTGTCCGTATCTGTTTCACCTTCGTGAGAAGTGAAGAGGTCGCTAAAAACCTTCTCCATCTGGTTGTGGAGGCTAAACAGGTTTCGCATCGGTTTGCGTGTCGCTAAGTAAGTCATCTTTTTTCTCCTTCTGAATTTTGTTTGTGGAAATGTTATGTGCAAGTTCTATGCCAAATAGGTTGCAAGTTTTATGCCAATCTTTTCAGAGGCAACCGACGATGTTGCCTTTCTGTTTTTTATAAAGCAATTCGCGTGCCAAAACTGCTTCTTATCTAAAATTGCGTATTTGGGAAAGCCACTGGCGAGGGTGTGAGTAAGGCGGATGTCTACGGAAGAAGGGTGTTGGTGTATGGTAAGCATCGCTATCAGAGTTTGTGCCTACCCAAAATGTGACAGAGTTGATAGAAAAAGGAGAAAGGCAGATTCGCCAAATTGGCACGACCCTTGCCACTGTGGCACTGAGGGCATGTCAAAATGACTATGAGGGTACAGGGCGTTTTCGATGTGCATTTACGAAGAAGAAACTCTACCTTCCTGAATTCGGGTGCGGATTCCGGCAACAAGTGTCTGCAAAGCGACCGGATTTTCATCTTGAAACGGGATAACCAAGTCTGCGTACTGTTTGCAAGGTTCAGTATAGACAGGAAAATTAGGCAGAACATCGCGCCGGTACCAGTTGATCGCCCACTCCAGATCGCCACCGCGTTGTGCGACATCACGGAGCATCCGTCGCAAGACACGCTCGTGCGCATCTACATCAAGAAACAGTTTGATGTCCATCAAATCACGTAAGTCTTCACTCCAATAGATAAGATGTCCTTCCACAATGACAACATCGCTCGGTTGCACGCTCGTCTTTTCGTCGCCGCGTTGTGCACCACGGGTACCGGGGTAGGAACATCAATAGCGTCTCGTGCGCGTAGTTTCTTGATGTCTGTGATGAGGGCATCCCATAGAACAGCGTCCGGGTGATTAGCGGTGATCACGCGCTCGCGTTCTGCATCCGAGTATTCCGACCAGTCGCGGAAATAGGTGTCTTGGTTCAGCACAACAGGCGAGAATTCCGAGAGTGCTTCCGCCAAAGCCTTGGCAAATGTCGTTTTCCCAGAGGCGGAACCGCCCATAATCCCAACAGTGATAGGTGTGAAAAGCTCTTCTTTTTGCATAGTTTCTCCGTCTACATTATATTGTGGGAGTTCAGTTTTGTATATTAGCATACATCCATTCGGGGGTCAAGACTATTATGGACATTTATCAGAGGCATTCTGTTCTCCTTAATTTCGATTTTCCGCTGGTAGGTTCTTCGCTGTAGGAGCAACCTCCCGGTCGCGACGCTCACGACCCTCTGATCACACGAATTGCCATTTTGATGACCGCTGATGGAAACCGATGGCTCATTACTGACCGCTGAAAACTGATAACTAATACCAATTCTAATTGATGATTTCTCATAAAGAGTCTACTGTTTTTGGTTATGCCCGGTGCGCTTAGGAATGCAGATCGTATTTGGGTGAGGACACCGCAAAAACGCACCATAAGCGTCAATTTTAAAAAAAACTGCATCGGAACATCGTAGGTTGGGTAGAACGGATGCCACCAAAAACGTAAAAATCATAGAAAATGAAGTTTTCTCCACACACGCTGCATCAACCAGAGACCGAGTGAAACCCAACGCTTTTGTGCTGAAGTATCCGTGACTCTGACGGTATGAAGTTGGGTTTCACTGTGTTCTTGAGTGTATCCGATAACATATTGGATTTAGCGGTATTTGGAACCCACACATCTACCCTCTCAGTTCCGTTCAACCCAACCTACGGGAGCTGCGACACTCACTGACAACTGACAACTGACAACTGACAACTGATAACCATTAAAAAAGAAATTTGACTTGCATAAAAAAATGTGTTATTATATAATTAAAGTCAGTATATAGGGGACTTTGGCGCGCTGCTTACGAATTTTATACAGCATAGCGTAATTGCCCTATTACAAAGACTAAACGTTTTTTTGTGAATAACGTCTTAATAGCACAGGTTGTTTTTGAGACGTTGCGGGCATGTTTTTGTTGCCCCAATTCGAGGAATTTGATAATGCGAACGCTTGAACGCAATACCATCGCAACACAAATAACCGGTTTAGGGATCGTTCAGAGCAACGTTCTCGACGCTTGGGCTCTTTTTACGCAGCTTGCAAGTAGCAGTTTGCTATTAAAAGGCGTGTTTGTGTTTTATCTGTACTTATATTTGTACGGCAACGATAGGTGGTGAAGGTTCGTAGGTAATGCCTCAATTGTACGACTAACCGATTCCAATATCACCACCCAGCGTTGAAAATAAATTCGATGTTGGGTAATTTTTTTTAACCGAATTAGATTTGGGACAGAGTTATTTCTTGGAGGTAGTTGAAAAGAATGGTAATCGTTACCAAGACCGATGCGACACAGTCAGATATTGATGCTGTTGTCAAACGGATCGAAAGTGTCGGGTTGAAAGCGCAAATCTCAACAGGTGAACGTCACACGGTCATCGGTGTCATAGGAGAAAACATTGCTTGGTGATATTCCGATAAATTCAATGTCCGGTGTTGATCGAACGATGCCGATTACGGCACCGTTCAAGTTGGCGAGCCGCGAATTTCGGGATGAACCAACAGTTATTGCGGTTAACGGCACAAAGATTGGCGGAAAGCAGTTGCCTGTCATCGCCGGTCCGTGTGCAGTAGAGAGCACAGAACAAATTGTGACCATTGCCCGGTTGGTCCAAAAAGCAGGCGCAAGTTTCATCAGAGGCGGTGCCTTTAAGCCAAGAACGGGTCCCTATAGTTTCCAAGGCTATGGTGAAGAGGCACTCAAGATGCTAAAAGCAGCGAAAGACGAAACTGGACTCGGCATTGTCACCGAAGTCATGACCCCACACGAGGTGGAACTTGTCGGCGAATATACAGACATGTTCCAACTCGGGACCCGGAACATGACGAATTTTTACCTGTTGCGTGAGGTAGGACGGGCAGGGAAGCCTGTCATTCTCAAACGTGGGATGTCGGCGACAATTGAAGAATGGCTCCTCGCTGCGGAGTATATTCTCGCAGAAGGAAATCCCGATGTCATTCTATGCGAGCGCGGCATTCGTACATTTGAAACCCATACACGTAACACACTTGACCTGAACGCTGTACCCGTCATTCACGAATTGAGCCATCTTCCAATAGTCGTTGATCCAAGCCACGGCACCGGTATCCGAAGCTTGGTGTGTGATATGACGAAAGCATCTGTGGCTGCAGGAGCCGATGGACTATTACTTGAGGTGCATCACGATCCTGATCATTCAATGACGGGAGATGGTGCACAATCGCTGTTCCCAGATCAATTTGAGACGCTCATGCGGGAGCTGCAACCTATTGCTATCGCTGTCGGTCGTGAAATCTAAAGAATAGTTATCAGTTTTCAGTTCGGTTTTTTTAAAAAAACCTTCAGTTACTCTCTTGTGGCGGTTGCTTTTGTTGTGCCTGCCACAGTATGACTCTTAACTCTCACTGCGAGGCAAACTGACAACTGATAACTCTGATAACTGACGACTCTAAATTGGAGGAAAAAGCCTTGGACGATTTTGAAACCAACCAGCAGAAAGTCTATATCTTTGATACAACGCTCCGTGATGCCGAGCAGACACCCGGCGCTGCTCTTGGTATCGAGGAAAAACTCGAAATTGCCAAGCACCTCGCCAAATTAAATGTTGATGTCATTGAAGCCGGATTCCCAATTTCGTCACCGGGTGATTTCGACGCTGTCAAACGGATAGCGAACGAAATTGAAGGACCGGAAATTTGCGCCTCTCTCGCGTTGTAGAGAAAGACATTACTGCCGCATGGAAAGCAATTGCGGATGCTCCGCGCGCCCGTATCCATACATTTGTCGGCACATCGTCGATTCACATGGGACGTATCACGCGGACGACCCCAGAAGATACACTCCGAATGGCAACGGATGCTGTCGCCTACGCTAAGAGTCTCTGTGAAGGACACCCGGATGCGAATGTGGAATTTTCACCGATGGACGCAGGACGGACAGAGTTAGCGTTTCTTTATGAGGTCGTTGAAGCAACTATCGCTGCAGGCGCGACCGTCGTCAATATCCCAGAAACCGTCGGATGGACAGTACCAACGGAGTTCGGTAATCTGATTAAAGGTATCATGGAAAATGTCCCGAATGTTGACGATGCCATTATTAGTGTCCACTGCCATAACGATCTCGGATTGGCGGTGGCGAATAGCCTCATCGCGATTGAGCAAGGCGCGCGTCAGGTAGAATGCACAATCAACGGGCTCGGAGAACGCGCCGGGAACACCTCACTCGAAGAGGTGGTCATGGCAATCCGAACCCGGCGTGACTACTTTAGTGAGTATTACACCGAGATTAACGCCAAAGAGATTGTCCCGATTAGTCGGCGTGTGAGCCGGACGATGGGCATTTCCGTGCAACCGAACAAGGCGATTGTCGGCGCGAATGCTTTCGCTCACAGTTCCGGTATCCATCAGGACGGGATCATCAAATCACGAGTGACATTTGAAATCATTGATCCGAAAGAGATCGGTTGGAAAGAGAGTCAACTCATCCTCAGTCCGCGTTCGGGACGCAACGCACTCAGACACCGACTCAGCGAACTCGGCTACGAAGTGGACGCTGAACAACTGGATAAGGTCTATGAAAGATTCCTGAAGGTCGCCGATAAGAAGAAAGCAGTACAGGATGCTGACCTTGAGGCAATCATGAGCGATGAGATTCGCTCGATCCCTGCTGTTTATGAGCTTGATTATATTCAAATCGTCAGTGGCACGAGAATCGCATCGACAACGACGGTCGGTATTCGGACGGAAGACGGAATCGTTGAAAGAGCATCAACTGGAGATGGGCCCGTTGATGCCGCGTTTAAGGCAATTGGTCAGGTTATTGACATTCAACTAAATCTCATTGACTACCAGATCCGTTCCGTAACCGAAGGCGAAGACGCTATCGGTGAGGTCTCGTTGAAGGTACAAGACAACTGGGAATATCATCACGGGACACGGTGCCAGCACTGACATCATTGAGGCGAGTGCACGAGCGTACATCCACGCTGTTAATAAGTTAATTCAATACGGTCTGAAGGGTAAGAAAGTCAAGACTTACGCAAATGCCTTTGCTGGCGAGGTTTCAAACCTCGCCAGCGGCGCGTGATATATAAGGTCTCATAGAGAGATTGCTTGAAAACGGGATAAATTTTGTCAACGATAGGGTCATTTAGTTCTCCGATAAGGGCGAACGCTAAATCTTGAGTCACGCTGTAGGAGCGATCTCCGAATCGCGACTGTCCAACCAAAATGGCTAAAAAGCCGAAAACTAAACAGCCCTACGTCAACGATAATCTATCTGGACGCGAGTTTTTATGAGGGGAAAAATTCAATGTTGAGAACATCATTCCTATACATATTAGTAATCGTGACTTTCATTTCAATAGGAGGATGTGGAAGTATAGGTTTATCTAAACGAGATACAAGCGATCCAAATGTCGTCCTGTCTTTTACGGAGATATTAGACGATCCTGAAACATACATGGATAAGGTATTAACCTTTGAGGCAGTTGTAAAGCACACGCATTATGGAAGCAAGGTAGAGTTATACACTAACAGGAAGCTTAGACAGTTTTCCATTACCACTCATAGTGCTGATATTCATAGCATAGATGAGAATGGTGAGGAAGTAGATATTGTTCCTAATGAGAAATATAGGTTCAAATGTAGAATTTACGAAATTAAAATCAATCAGCATGGTATATGGGATATTCAAGCTGAATTTATTGTTTCAGATGAAAAGAAGATACTTTACCAACCAGAACTTGTAGACTAAACGGTTAAGTCTTTTCAATAGTAATGTGTCAAGCCCTGTCGGATTCTCCAACAGGGCTTTTTGTTGATGTCTTTTACGGCAACTACCAATCCTCAACTAACTGCACCAACAACCGCACACCGTAGCCTGACGCGCCTTCAGGGATATACGTAGAGCCTTTCATACCCCCAAGCAGTGCCAGCGATGTCAAGGTGCACCCACGGGATAACCTTCCGCGAACTTCTTCAAAAACGCTGCCGCTGCAATCGTACCAGCACCGCCATCGCCGATGTTCTGGACATCCGCAACCTTACTTTTAACGCCTTCATCGTAATCGTCCCAGAGCGGCAATTCCCAGACCCGTTCGTGCGTCTTTATGGCTGCTGACTTCACTTTCGCCATGAGTTCTTCATCTGTACCCCATTGCCCCGGCTGCAATGTGTCCCAAGCAGGTAATCACGGCACCGGTGAGCGTAGCTAAGTCGATAACACCTTTCGGGTTATACTGTGCCGTCCATCCGAGCGCATCTGCCAATACCAAACGTCCCTCTGCATCGGTATTGAGAATCTCAATCGTTTTGCCGCCGTAGGAGGTGATAACATCACCCGGTTTAACTGCTGTCCCACTCGGCATGTTTTCTGTTGCAGCAACCACACCAATAACACGCACGTTCGGTTTGAGTTGACCGATGACTTGCATCGCGCCTATCACAGCGGCGGCACCGGACATGTCATGCTTCATCTCATGCATACCGCTTCCGCCCTTGAGCGAGATCCCGCCTGTGTCAAAGGTAATCCCTTTTCCGACAAGCACGACGGTATCTTGCCCTTCGCCGTCAGGTGTGTATTCGAGAATAATAAATCGTGGCTCTTCGGCACTCCCTTGAGCGACAGCAAGGAGTGTGCGGAAGCCTTTTTCCTCTAAGGTGGCTTTGTCAAAAATTTCGCAACCGAGTCCTGCTGCTGCTGCCACCGCTTCTGCCTTCTCAGCGAGTTGTGTTGGTGTGAGATAGTTTGCGGGTTGGTTGCTCAGGTCGCGGGCGAGCAGTGTACCGTTGGCTATCACTTCTCCGCGCCGGGCTGCTGCTTCTACCGTTGCCTGACTCTGATCGTTTTCGGCTAAGAACGTGAGAGATTCGAGTTTTTTATTTTCATCCTCATTACCGTTGCTCGTTTTATGTTCATCAAACTGATAAAGTGCAAGGAGACCGGCTTCCGCTGCGGCTTGTATCATCTCAGGCGTGGCTTCAATAGGAATCGGAACCGCGGCGTTGGTTAAGCCCATATCTCGGATCGTCCGCACCGCGTGACCGGCTGTCTGACGCACCTTTTCAACAGTGAGGTCATGATATTCACCCAAACCCACCAGCAGCACGCGAGGCGCGGTTATTGCGCCGTTTGTGTAGAGCCAACTGGTGGTTTTTAACTTGCCTGTGAAATCACCGAGGTTCATTAATTCGCGAATGCGTCCACCGAGTGCCTGATCTATAGTTTGGAGCGGTGCACTATAGAAATCCGGATTTTCCAGCACGCCGATGGCGATGACATCTGTCTGTTCTTGGGCAAACCCACCCGTTTTGACCGTAATGTTCATGAATTCTCCTTTGTATTTTTATATTTTGTGTAATTCTTACAATATTAAGCTTTCCGCATACCTGTTAAGATGACTAAAGGCTCCTTGCTTGTGACGGTAATCGAATGGTAAGTATTCGCAGGGACATCAATTCGGTCACCGCTTTCTATGGTCCCCTGTTCGTCAGCGACCTTCACATCTGCTGTGCCAGATAGGACACAGACGACTTCATCTTGCGTATGAATGTAATCGAGATAGGCACCGCCGGGACGACCTGTCCACTCGTAGGCACTGAAGCCTTCGGTTCCTAATTGCCTCTTTAATGCGTCGGTATCCGCATGCTGTTCTGACCACCGTGATTTCCAATTCATCTTTCAGCTCCAAGTACGTCTGTTGCGTTTTGTGTATCGTCATTTTCTGATAGCGTAACCCGACCTTCCATATAACGTTTCAACCGATCTCGAAAGTCAGAAAGGCATGCCAAACTGAAATGGTCATCGTCCCCGTTCTTGAGTTTTAAGATGTCTGCCGGGTCAACTGCCAAAAGTTTCGCCGCCTTCACGCGTCTCAGCCGAGACTTCTTGAGAAGTGTAAATACCTCAAAAGTCAACTTCGCCCGAAATGACAAAGCTTCGGCCTCTTCATCAGAAAAACCTATATCCTTAAACACGTTCCCACTGCTTTTCTCAAACTTCACATCATCAGACATATATTGCCTCCATTTCTCTTGCACGCCTTAAGCGTTGCTTGATAAGGTCTATTTCTCTTTTGGGGGTTCTTACCCCTCGTGTTGATTTCTTCTCGAAACAATGCAATACATACACCCGCTCTCGGATACTCACCGTGTAAACAGCCCGGTAAGCATTGGTAGAATGCCGAGTAACAATCTGTTGGACTCCTGTCCCGATACCTCGCATCGGTTTGGCAGCTGGGTGTTTATCCCCGAGCTGAGCGTATTCCAACGCCCTACCGATTGCTTGTCTGGCCTTTTTGGGAAATCGCCGTAGTCGTTCACGCGAATCCCCAACCCATACAACGTCTTTCATACACACTTCTTCATGGATACTTGCTTCGTAACAGGTTCCCCGCCAACACGCTGAGGATAATGTACGTGCCTAATCAAAAAACGACGATCCCCCCAACGCGGATGAGCGTAGCGATACCCCGTTTAAAAGACCTTAAAGTGGTTCTAACCTGACCGGGCATACTTTCAATTCAGCTGTGTGAGTAACAGGGTCATAACCCGAACCGGTCAATAGATTAACTGGGACATCTGCGAAACTGAAACTGGCGAAGACGGTGCCACGCGGCGAACGGTTCGTCACTTTTACTTTGATGTTGATACTACCGCGCGCGCTACTCATTTTACACCATTCGCCATCTGTTAATTCCCATTTCTCAATGTCGGCAGGATTGATTTCCAGTGATTCTTCTGATAAAAGGTAATCAATCCCTTGTGCCCTACCTGTCTGTGTTCGCGTGTGATAGGATTGCAAGCGTCTACCTGTTGTGAGCCATACAGGGAATTCTTCGTTAATTGTCTCGGCGGGGTCTCGGTAATGCACATTTGAGAAGATACCACGTCCGTTGATGAACCCTTCTTCATGTAGCCGAGGTGTGCCGGGGTGTTCTTTGTGCGGCACGGGCCACTGATACTCACCTTTGTCAATACGTTCCCAATCTAATCCTGCGTAAATCGGTGAAATCCGACAGAGTTCATTGAAAATCGGTTTTGGCGTATCAAAATCAAAGCCTTCAAGTCCGAGACGTTGTGCAATCTGACAAATAATCCACCAATCCGGTTTTGCCTCACCCGGTGGTGGTACTGCTGCACGCATCCGTTGGACGCGACGTTCTGTATTCGCGCAGACCCCATCCGTTTCACCCCATGCCGTTGCTGGCAACACAATATCGGCGAGTTCAGCGGTCTCAGTGAGAAAGATGTCGATAACAACGAGATGCTCCAATGTGCGGAGCGCATGCTCACAATGCTCCCGATCTGGATCTGAGAGAAGCGTGTTTTCGCCGTCAATGAGCATCGCATGGATGCTGTCACCACAAAGTTCTAAGGCAGTCACTTTAGTGATACCCTTCTCCAAATCAACCTCTCTGCCATACTCCGCTTTGAACTTCGCCTGATACGCTGGATCCGTGACAGCTTGGAAGCCGGGATAGTTGTTTGGCAATGCGCCACTGTCCCCCGCGCCTTGAATGTTGTTTTGCCCACGCATTGGGTTGATGCCTGTTCCCTCTCGACCAATATGACCGGTCATCAAGGCGAGATTGCAGAGGCTCTGAACATTCTCAACGCCGCAGATATGTTCTGTGATTCCAAGCGTGTAGTAGATGGCACCCTTATTCGCGCTGCCGTACCACATCGCTGCTGTCTCAATGTCCTTCGCGGGGACACCCGTAATCGTTTCTGCCCATTCCGGTGTCCACTGGCTGATATGTTCAAAGAATTCATCAAACCCAGTGGTGCGATTTTCGATGAACTCTTCGTCAATCAAGCCTTCTCGGGCGATTACGTGTGCCATACCGAGGAGTAGTGCTGTGTCGGAACCGACGCGGAGTGGTAGGTAGAGATGCGACAGATCCGCCAACCCGATGCGCCTCGGATCCGCGACGATGAGTTTCGCACCACGGGCGATTGCCTTCTTAAGTCCCGTCGCCGCGACAGGATGGCATTCCGTCATATTTGTGCCGATACAGAAGATCACATCCGGTTTCTGCATATCGACGAGCGGGTTAGACATCGCACCACGTCCGATTGTCGCTGCCAGACCGGCAACGGTCGGCGCGTGTCAGGCACGGCTGCAGTTGTCGATGTAGTTGGTGCCGAACCCCACACGGATAAACTTCTGCATCATATACGCAGCTTCACTCGGTGCGCGCCCGGAAGCAATACCGTAGATACTATGTCTACCGTGTTCAGCGTTGACCTTCCGAAATCCTTCAGCGGCTTTGTCAAGTGCGTCTTCCCATGTGGCTTCGTGGAGATCGCCATCGTCACCGCGAACAAGTGGAGTTTTCAACCGATCCGAGTGATGCACGAAGTCGTAAGCAAACTGACCTTTAACACAGAGTGCTCCTTGATTCGCGGGGCCGTCCATAGCAGGGTGGATGCCAACGATTTTTTCATCTTGCGTGAGTATATCAACGGAACACCCGACACCACAATACGGGCAGATGGTGCGGGTTTTATCAGGAATAGCATCCCCTATCTCATCAGCTGCGCGGAGTGCTTTCTTGTCGGCAAGCGCACCGGTCGGACAGGTCTGGATACACTGTCCACAAAACGTGCAAGCAGAATCCTTGAGAAGTCCATCGAACTCCGTCGTAATCTGTGTATGGAACCCGCGGTTCATGACGTTGATGGCATGATCACCCTCTTGTTCAGCACAGACGCGGACGCACCGATAACAGGAAATGCAGAGTTCATAGTCTCTGAGGATAAACGGATTCTCATCGGTTTTATTCGCACCCGATTTCGCACCTGTCATACGGGTGCCGTTTACTGCATACTTGTCGCGGAGGTCCGCGAGTTCACTGGCGGCATAACCGCGCAGCGGAGACACATCAACTTCACGATTCTCGCTGACAACCATCTCAAGTAGTGTTTTCCGGTACGCCTCTATTGTATCGGTTGCCGTCCGCACTACCATCCCCTCTGTGGTTTTCGTCGTACAAGATGCCACAGGATTTCGCGCACCTTCTAACTCCACGATGCAGAGACGACAGCCACCGAATGGTTCAAGCCTCGGGTCGTAGCAGAGCGTTGGAATCTCTTTTTCATGGCGTTGCGCGACCTCAAGGATCGTTTCACCCTCAGAAAACGCAACTTCAACACCATCAATTTCCATTTTATGCGTCATAGTGCATACTCCAAAGACAGGATAGCATATATGCCATTGTTATTCCTTTTCTTCCTCTTCAGAGAAATAGGTTTGCGGGACCTTCAATTCGCCCGCAATAATCTTGGCTTTCGCCTCCGCAACAGCTTTTTGCACCGCTTCCGGCACCTTATCCTTTAATTGAGGATTATATACAAAAGTAATAGCCTCGTCAGTTCCCATTGTGAAGAGATATGGCTGTGGTTTAAAGTTTGCTTCCAGTACAACCTTAGCAACTTTAACAAAAACCTTCGGTGTAATAATAGCGTTAGCAAGTATTGTTGTTGAAGACACTTCACTCTGATCTCAATATGAACCGAAAGTGTAGACGAATTTTCCATCGGCTTGTGCAGCCTCTACAGCTTGAAATACCCCGAGTCCTGCGACATCCGCATTGGGAAATATGAAGTCAATTCCTTCATTAATTTGTGCAAGTGCGAGTTCCTTCCCTTTACCGATGTCCTCCCAATTGCCTACATACGCTCGGCGGACTTCTGCATCAGGGTTAACGCTTTTGACTCCATTTTCAAACGCTACAAACGTGCTGTTGATAGCGGGTATGTTTTGTCCCCCCACAATCCCAATTTTACCCGTTTGCGTCATCGACCCAGCTATAATTCCCAACAAATAGATAGGTTCCTCAATCCCAAATACCATCGGCGATATGTTGTCGGTGATAGTGCTACCAGTTGATGTAATAAAAACGGTCTCAGGGAAGTCTGGGGCAACCGCTTTCGCAGGATCCTGATACTCAAAGCCGTGCCCAAAGATGAGGTGATACCCATCTAACGCATAATCGCGAAAGTGCGCTTCCTGATCGGTGGGGGTTCGACTCTCAACATGACTGATTTTTGCACCTAATTCTTTTTCGATCACTTTGAGTCCATCATAAGCCAATGCATTCCATCCACCATCGGTGATAGATGCAGGTAAAAGCAGCGCAACTTTAAATTTTTCATGTCCTTTCGCGTATGGAGATGTATTTCCAATTAGCATGAGTCCGATTGCGAGAAGACACAGATATAGGGTATAGATTGCAATGCTATATCCTGATTTGTAAGGCATCTGTTTCATATAAATATTCCTCTGTTGCCTAATAACATAGACATATTATACCAAACTAACCCCATTTGTAGCGCGAGGTCCCTGTGCCTCGCAATGCTGACTTGATCAAAAAACTTCTAATCAAGTTAATTTGGTATTATAGAAGGTTTGACAAGAATTCTAAATTACTATTGTTGAGCTGACGCCTGCAATTTCCCCATGCACTCACTGGCGCGCTTAGCAAGCACGCCAGCAACGTGTGGTTTTGGAAGATGTGTTAGTCTTTGTCGTCTTCCTTTTCAGAAAAATCGATTTGTGGTACTTTCAACTCGCCCGCGAGGATTTTGGCTTTTGCCGCTTCAACGGCTTTTTGTACATCTGCCGGCACCTTATCCTTTAGCGCAGGGTTATAGACAAGCGTGATTGCTTCATCTGTTAACATGTTGAAGGTATAGATCTGCGGTTTGAATTCGCCATTCTTGACAATCTCGGCAATTTTCACAAAAGCATTCGGTGTAATCACGGCATTCGCAATCACAGTTGGGGAAATATCACTCTTGTCACGATTCGCGCCAAAAGTGTATACCATTTTTCCCTCTTTTTGCGCGGCTTCAGCTGCCTCAAAGGCACCGAGTCCAGCTGCGTCTGCATTCGGGAAAATAAAATCAACACCCTCATTAATCTGTGCAAGTGCAAGTTCTTTACCTTTGCCAATGTCTTCCCAATTCCCGACGTATACCGAAGACACCTCTACTTCAGGGTTCACACTTTTCGCACCGCCTTCAAACGCCATAAACGTGCTATTCACAGACGGTATGTTCTGTCCACCCATCACACCGAGTTTATTGGTTTTCGTCATCATGCCTGCGATCATCCCTAAAAGATAGGCAGGCTCCTCAACACGAAAGTTAACTGGCGAGATGTTGTCCGTGATCGTGCCACCGGAAGATGTTATGAAAATCGTCTCAGGAAAGTCGGCAGCGACTGCTTTCGCTGGGTCTTGGAACTCATAGCCGTGTCCAAATACCAAGTCGTAATCGTCAAGTGCGTAGGAACGGAATTGTTCTTCCTGATCCGCGGGGGTTCGGGTCTCAGCGTGGCTGGTCTCCGCACCGAGTTGCTTTTCGATTGCTACGAGTCCTTCATAAGCCAAAGCGTTCCAACCGGCATCACTGATTGAACCCGGTAGAAGCATCGCAACCTTGAATTTCTCATGTCCTTTTGCGTTGAGATCTATATTCCCAACAAGTATGAATCCGATTGCGAGAAGGCATAGGAGTAACATGTAGATTGCAACGTTATTTCGTAACTTGTGTAATAACTGTTTCACGTCAATAATTTCTCCTTTATTACTGGAATATTTGATTTAAAGTATAGCACGTTTATGCGAAAAATGTAAAGGGGTATAATTTTGCCATTCATGGATTTTTTGCGAGACATTATTGATCAGATACCCATTTTTTAACATAGACGTTTACCGATTTCTATTGACACACTTACGCAAATAGCATATACTTTTTAGGACTATTTGTGCGGAAAAACGGCGTGGTAATTCAATTGACACTTTTTAATAAGAAGGGAACGCCTCATGGCGAATTCAACACAAAGTTATCTGCTCAGCATCGGTTTGTCTACAAGGCATCGGGGCAGTTTGCGGGGTGGCCCGCTAACGGCGGCTATCTGGCATTGGGGTGATGAAATCCTTGTCCGGTTTCAGATTGGCACCTATGATAATAGTGGAGGTGGACACGCCATTTCCCGTGATGAGCCGAGTCGCCAGATCCTTGCTCGAAGTTTAGATGGTGGTGAAACTTGGCAACCTGAGGAAATTGAGGTTTATCCAACAGAGTCCACATCTATAGATTTCGCGCATTCGGATTTCGCGATGCAGTGCAACGGAAGCAAGTTTCGTATCTCTTACGACCGCGGCAAAACATGGATAGGTGATTACGATTTGCCGGACATCGGGAAGAAATTGACTTCACGAACAGATTACCTCGTCAACAGCGTAGGTGATTGCTATCTCTTTCTCTCCGCGAAAGAGGATCGCGTTCAAGCGGGCATCCGAGATCGTGCCTTCTGTGCGCGGACGACAAACGGCGGCGAGAGCATTGAATTCGTGGGTTGGATGACAGATGATATTGAAGTCCGTTCCGTGATGCCTTCAACAGTGCGGCTATCCGAAACGCATCTGGTGACAGCACTCCGCCGACGGTATGACACGGAACAGGACGGGACCCGACTCAGTAGAAATTGGATTGAGATTTGTTATTCAACGGATAATGGGGAAACATGGTCTTTTCTGAGCAAAGCCGCGGATACCGACGGTGGTGCTGGTAAGAATGGAAATCCACCGAGCATGGTTGGCTTGAAGGATGGCAGGCTGTGTGTTACTTACGGTTACCGATCAACACCATACGGGATCCGAGCGAAATTGAGTGAGGATAACGGAAAGAGTTGGGGGGATGAAATCCACCTGCGCGATGATGGCAGGAATTGGGATTTCGGGTACACGCGGACAATCCAACGCTCAGATGGTAAGTTGGTGACACTCTACTATTACACAACCGTTGAAAACCCCGAACAACATATTGCCGCCACAATCTGGTCGGTAGATGAGAAGTAAGTCGTATCTGTGTTGAGGCTTCCAATCTTAACGTAAACGAGGGATTATGGAAAACAATTTTGAAGTTAGGGTAAATGCAAAAACACATTTAGTTGTTGAACCCGATACCGGTCGTTGTTTGGGTGGTGTCGGTGCGAATTTTTATCGTCCGTTTGTCTTTCCGTTTTACACGCCAGCCGGACATACCGTCGTTCAAGAGTTTGCCTTTGATCACCCATTCCACAACGGCATTTTCGTCGGGCAAGGACCGGTTCAGGTCGGCGACAGGGAAGCAGGTTTTTGGGCATCACCACCCCGTCGCTCCTTTACGGACAAAGTCTTCGAGAGATTGGGACGGATGGACACACAGAAAGACATTGACATCACACCACACGCGGATGGCGTTCACTTCGTTCAGAACGTTGTCTGGCGCGATGAAAACGAAGAACCGTTGATTGACGAAATTCGGACTGTCAATCTTCACGCGCTTGCGGATGCCACCATTTGCGATATGACAAGTGAGAAGATCGCCACTTACGGTGCTGCGACGTATCCACAGACGAAGTTCGGGAGCATCGGCATCCGCGTTGAACCGAGACTCTTGCCTGTTATGGGCGGTATCGTGCTGGGTGACAATGGACGCAGCGGCGGTGTCGATGTCGTTCACGAAGGCGAATCAAATTTCGTTGCTTACCAGAACGTGTTGGCAGGACATGGAGAGTTCGGTGTCTTTATGAGCATTCTTAATGAAGGCATTCGTGGTCCGTGGTTCATTCGGGATTACGGGATGGCACTCTATAACCCGACTTGGACAGGTTCCGTATCGACACCTGAAGGTGAAAGTTGGAAAGTTTCGCTTCGGGTTATCGCTTACGATGGAGAATTGACACCAGCGAGAGCAGAAAAGTGGTGTCTGCTGTAGATGGAAAAAGAAACCATCCTTGAACTTCGGAATGTTACGAAAACCTTCGGTGATTTTGTCGCAGTTGACAGTGTTGATTTTGCACTGCAAACCGGTGAAATTCACGCGATTTTAGGAGAGAACGGTGCGGGTAAGTCCACACTGATGAATCTTATCTATGGACTTTACCAACCATCGGCAGGACGCATCTATGTCACAGATCGTGAAGGCTGGCAGCGTAGGTTACGGGCAAAATCGCCACGTGATGCGATTGCCACCGGTATCGGCATGGTGCATCAGCACTTTATGCTGGTTGAAAATCTGACTGTTGCTGAGAATATTGCCTTGAGTCTTGGGCAATTGCGTCGTAGCACAGCGAGAGACGCATCTGAAAATGGTTCTTATAAGAAGTGGTTGCGGAAATTCCGCTTTAAGAAAGAAGACGCGATTCGTATTACCGAAGAGCTCTGCGCGCAGTTCGGTCTGGTTGTTGATCCAACTGCATTGGTGCGGACGCTTTCAGTAGGTTTGAAGCAACGTGTAGAAATTCTAAAAGCACTGGCAGTTGATGCTCGGATACTGATTCTTGATGAACCGACCGCCGTTCTCAGTCCACAAGAGGTAGAAGGCTTCTTCACAATTCTCCGCAAACTCCAAGCCGATGGCAGCGCAATCATCTTCATTAGCCACAAAATGAAAGAGGTTTTAAGCATCAGCGATAGGATTACCGTCTTAAGGCGCGGCAAAAAGGTCTATCTCGGTAAGACGGGTGAACTGACCACACGAGAACTCGCAAGGGAGATGATCGGGGAGGAGGTCAACGAGGTTGAACGCTCAGGAGACGCAGCCCTCGAAAATGAGACATCAGACAACGTGCTACAACTCTCAAATCTGACCGTACTCGGCAGTCGTAACGAAATCGCAGTGTCAGATGTCTCTATGGCGACCCATCGCGGTGAGATCGTTGGCATCGCTGGCGTTGACGGCAACGGACAACGCGAACTCGCCGAGGCGATTATGGGCTTACGGCACAGTGAATCAGGGACAATAAGCATCTTAGACACCGATCCGAAAGGGACAAAAGCGGTGCGACAGCGCGGGGTCGGTTATATCCCTGAAGATAGGCAAACGACTGGCGTTATCGCGTCGTTCTCAGTTACAGAAAACCTCTTGCTGAATGTAACGCACTTGGAAAGGACAGCACACTGGAATATCCTCAATCAAAAAAGAAAACAGAATACAGCACAACAACTTATCGCTGATTATGACATCCGTCCCCCTATCGGTGGCATTCCTGCCGCTGCACTCTCCGGCGGCAACCAACAAAAAATTGTACTCGCCCGAGAAATCTCGCTTCACCCCGACCTACTTATCGCCGTTAATCCGACACGCGGTTTAGATGTTAACGCCGCTCGCTATGTACATGAGAATTTGTTGGCACAACGCGACGAAAAGAAATCTGTACTGCTCATCTCAACGGAGTTAGACGAAGTCCTACTACTGAGCGACCGACTCTTTGTGATGTCAAGGGGTAAGTTGATCGAAGCGACTGCGCAGCGCAACGATATCGAAGCTCTCGGATTGTTAATGACAGGAGAAACCCATAAAGACCTTAGTGATAGTCTGAAAATATGATGTTAAAAGTAGCCAACATATTCAAAGGAATCAACATTCATTGGGTCGTGACACCGGTTCTAATTCTCGCGAGCGCGTTTGTCACAAACGCCATTATAATGCTGCTCTGCAACTATAACCCGTTAGATGCTTATCAAGCAGCGGTGAGTGGTGCCTTCGGTAATGGTAGGAAATTTGGAGAAACGTTGGTGAAAAGCACCCCGTTTCTGATGACAGGGCTCTCCGTTGCGATGGCGTTTCGGTGTGGGATTTGGAATATCGGTGCTGAAGGGCAGTTCCTGATGGGTGCGTTAGCAGCGACGTGGTTTGGAACCAGGCTCGCCTCACTCTTTCCAGAAACCCCTTGGATTGCTGTGCCGATATGCCTCGGCATTGCGGTGCTTGCAGGTGGAATATGGGGACTCATCCCGGCAATCCTCAAAGTGGCACGCGGGGTCAACGAAGTTATTAGCACGATTATGTTGAACTACGTCGCTATTCAGTTGGTGAGTCTGATGATAGATGGCGGTCCGTTACAGGAGGCAGCACAACGCGGTCCGCAGAGCGATCGGATCGTCAAGTGGGTATTTCTGCCGCGGCTTTTCCCACCGCATCGGGTCCATCTCGGCATCGTTATCGCTGTCGTATTGGCGATTATCCTTACGTTTATCCTCTTTCGGACAGCGTTGGGTATCAACTCCGCGCAGTAGGAGAGGGTTCGGCTGCGGCGGAAGCGGCAGGAATTTCGATTATGCAGAATACGCTCCGCGTCTTTTTCATTAGCGGTGCACTCGCAGGGCTCGGCGGAGCGATTGAACTGACCGCACTGACCCGTCGACTTTTTCTCAATTTCTCACCCGGATACGGCTATACAGCGATTGCTGTTGCAACTGTTGGCGAAGTTGAATCCGTTGGTAACGGTTGCTGCTGCGTTGCTGTTTGGCGCGTTATCGACCGGTTCATACAGTATGCAGCGGCAGGTCCGCATCTCTGATAAAGTGACGTTTGTGATGCAAGCGACAATCCTGCTTTTCGTTATCGGTTATAGTTCCGTCCGGTTTTTCCGTAAGCGGGCAACTCACATGCTGAGTAGGAGGGTTTAAAAATCGATCCAATACCGGTAGGCGTGCTTTGTAAGAGAACAAATAACGTACTTATACCATTTCTAAAATTTTATATTGCATTACCGCACCGTCCACCCAGACCCGGTAGGTGCGGTTTCCTAACCGCACCGGGCATAACCAAAAACAGTAGGCTCTTTTAAGAGAAATCATCAATCAGAATTGGTATTATTTTCGACATCGTAACAATCTAAGAAAAAACCGTTTTTCGACAACGGAGAAAAACGAACAAAAACCCAATAATTAAAAATATGTTTGAAGATATTCTTTCGGCAACGATTCGCGGGGCGACACCGCTCCTACTTGCAGCTTTAGGTGAGGTAGTCTCCCAACGTGCCGGTGTGCTTAACATCGGTATTGAAGGGATGATGCTCATCGGCGCATTCTTTGGGATGGTAGGTTCCTTTTACATGGCAGAATTCGCGGTGTTCGCACCGTGGTTCGGGCTTTTAATGGCAGGTCTCAGCGGTCTTATTGCTGCCGCGCTCTTTGCGTTGTTTGCCATCAGGTTCCGTGGCGATCAAGTTATCATCGGCACAGCGATGACGCTTTTGGCATTAGGTTTGACGGAGGTCATCTATCAACGGCTCTTCGGCGTAACCGGAATCGCACAAGGCGTGCCAGCGTTCCCGCAAATCGACATTCCACTGCTCTCAAAAATCCCTTACGTGGGACGATCCCTGTTTTCACACAATATTCTCGTCTACATCACGTTTCTCCTATTGCCTTGTGTCTATTTTTTCCTCTACCACACACAACTGGGGCTCAGGATACGTGCTTGTGGCGAGCATCCGAAGGCGATCGCCACTACTGGCTCTAATGTGCTCCGTTTGAGAACGTTTTGTCTGCTATTCGCCGGTGCGATGGCGGGTATGGCAGGTGCATATCTTTCCATTGCCGATGTCCCCTACTTTACACCCGGGATGACAGTCGGACGCGGGTTCATCGCTCTGGCGATCGTTATCTTTGGAAAATGGCATCCTGTGAAAGCATGTGGTGCTGCACTACTCTTCGGACTCGGTTCAGCACTCGATGCGCGGTTCCAAGCACTGGGATGGGGCATCCCTTACCAGTTGTGGTTGATGTTGCCTTATGTCCTCTGCTTAGCGGTCATGGCAGGATTTGTTGGACGCGCTGAGGCACCCCTCGCGTTAGGAAAACCCTACGGAGAGTCAGAATAGTATAGCGGTCAGCAGTCATACCAAATTAACCCCATTTGTAGCGCGAGGTCCCTGTGCCTCGCAATGCTGACTTGATCAAAAAACTTCTAATCACGTTAATTGGGTATCATACCAAATTAACCCCATTTGTAGTGCGAGGTCCCTGTGCCTCGCAAGGCTGACTTGATCAAAAGACTTCTAATCAAGCTAATTGGGTATCATACCAAATTAACCCCATTTGTAGCGCGAGGTCCCTGTGCCTCGCAATGCTGACTTGATCAAAAGACTTCTAATCAAGCTAATTGGGTATCAGTCATCAGCCGTCAGTTAAGAGGTTTTAGGTATAACGCCTCTTGCTGAAGGCTAATGGTTTCCGATGGCTGACAGCCATTAAAAGGTACTACCGAGGCGGAAATGTACCCTTCTTGTATCGGGTGAACTCGGAACGGATACGAGTGGGATCGCATAGTCAAGCCCGACTGTGAGTGCGCCAAAATCCAAATAGAGTCCTGCACCGACAGCGGACGGTAAACTCGCCGAGCTACCCTCAATGTCCGCCAGTGAACCCCAGACGTTGCCAGCATCAAAAAAGAAGGCTCCGCGGACCACCGAATAGATTGGGAAGCGTAACTCCGTATTAAAAATGAATTGGACATCACCGCGATAGGTACCTGTGATATCTTCGGGACCGAGGGAACGCTCGGCGTAGCCTCTAACCGTCGTGCTGCCGCCTGCCCAAAACCGCTCAAAAGAGATAAGTTCCGCGCTGCGATTTGAACCCAAGCCGGTAGTGATGCCGCATCGAACAGCCGTCGCTAACACAAGACTGCCGATGAGTTTTTGGTAATATCGGGTATCCGTTGTCCCTTTAATAAAACTGGTGCCGCCTTGCAAGAAGCCACCAGCGTACTCGAGTGTAATCTCGTTCAACATACCGCCTATCGGATTCAGATAGCGCACACGACGATCATAAGTCCAAGAGAAGCGTAGGCTACTCACGGTTGTGCTGAATGGGTTCTGTTCCTCAGGTAAACCGATCTCTGTCGGTGTCCCTTGCACGATTGGTGGAACCGGTTGGTTCAGATCTCTGTAACTGTATCGCAAATCCAAATGATGCGATTCGGCTAATTTCCTACTGAGGATGAAACTCCCTTGAAGGGCGCGAACGTTGTCATCTATCTCTAACTTCTTGGCAGATGCCTGTAGGGTCCCCCGCGTCCTGCCAATCAACCACGGTTCAGTGAGCCTTGCATCCACAAAGTACCCTAATTCATCTCGCCACCCTAATCTACTGCGGAAGTACCCGCGGATGTTGCGTTTAAAGAGAAAGTTGCTATCCGTTAACTCCAGTGTCCCGTTCCAACCTTCTGCGAAACTATAGCCACCGCCATAACTATAGGTTCTGGGTCGCTGCTTTTCGACTGTTACTAAAACGTCGTATGTTCTGAGAATAGCGTGAGGGTTCCCGCTGTCAAGCATTTCTACACCGTTGTCTCCTTCTATCTTTTGGGTTTCGAGTGGTTCTGCTTGAACCTTGTCAAAAATTCCTAAACCGGAGAGGTTTTGCAAGGCACGGCTTAATCCGTCTGATGTCCACAGGTTACCCTCAAGATGTGCTACCTCCCGTTCAAGAACGTGTTGTTTCACAACGTCCGTATCGCCTTCAAAATAGAATTTACCGAATGTTACCCGTTCACCCTCTGTCTCCACAGTAAGATTGAGGATACCGTGTTCAAATACCTCAAGATATGTCGGCTCCTGTTTGAGTGTATAGCGTGGATTGCCCTCAATATCTTGGATGCTCCAGCGGTTACCGACATTTGTTGCTATGAAAAGTCCTGCGAGTGTCAGATTGTGCCTTTTAAATTCATCGAGGATTTCCAAAGGGAGTTCACCCTCCGCAAGAGACTCCGAAAAATTACCTTCTACATCAAAAACTGGCGTTTCTGATGTGTCCGTGTCATCAACCTTTACCTTTACGTCAATGTATCCGAGTTCATGATACGCATTGCGGACTGCATTTTGGTAGACAGTTCTTTCAAACGAAGCGTTCGGTTGCGGGAACTGAAGTTCGCTTTCCAAACGTTCCAGAAGCGTGGCAGTATCTATCGCGCGATTACCGCTGATGGTACATCGGTGAATCACCTCTTTTCGGTCTTCAACAACTGAGACGTGTATCGTGACTTCGCCAATGTTTCGACCATTTAGAGGTTGTTTTTTAGGGGTTGCTGTAATGACTGCGTTCGGATAACCCGCTCTGTCGTATAAAATATCGAGTCGATGTTCATCTGTCTCAAGGTCTGCTGTATAAAAGAAGCGTTTCTGCTCTCGTTGCGATAGGAATCTGGCAATAATATTAGAGATTCGCAGATTCCAGAGAAATCTACCTGTCGGTTTCACTGACATTTCCCGTAGTAGGTCCGTGTCCGAAAAGGCGCGGTTCCCAGAAAAAGTGACGCTCGTAACCCGATAACGGGTCCCAGGATTAATCGTAAGCTGAACGCTGGAGGCATCCGAATTTTTTTCCTGTACAGTCGTCCCATGATAACCTTCGTTTTTAAAGTGCGCTTTTATCCTTCGTTCCCACAGAGAAGGTGCCCCCGTACTTATCACCTCGGCTATCTCTTCTTTGAAGGTATCTTGTTGTGATAAAGAGAGTTCGCCAGTATTTGGAACGAAATTAAACTGGACCTGCTTGCCTTCATTGATTTGAAACTGCAGTAGACCCGTTTTAGAGGTAAATTTTGGCTCGATAGTTGCGGTAGGATAGTTGTTTTTACGGTAGAGTGCTTTCATTGCTGCCACATCGGTGCCAACATCAGTTTTATTGTAAATCGGATAGAGTCGGCTAAAGTCGCACGCTCCTAAGAGGTGGTTGGTTGAGATAGCGGAATGTCCCTGAATTTGCAACCTCTTGATAGTTGACGAATCGCCTGCGGTTAGCTGATAGGTTAATACGCCATCTTCAGTAAGCGTATCGGCAACTGTAACTTGCGCGTCAAAATATCCATGTTCCCTGCAAATCCGCTTAATGTAGCTAATATCTGTGTTGGCAATTGTAGGTACATATCTCCCATTCGGCTTCGATTTTACCGCATTTTCAATAGCCGCCCTGAATTGGTTCGGAGGAATGCCAGCGATGACAACCGCTTTAATGAGATCAAAAGATGTGAGCTGAAAGGTTAAGGCAACGCCATTGCGGTGCTCCTGTGCGTAAACATGGATTTGGGAATATTGCTGTGTTGCGTAGAGTTTCTTAATACTCTGTTGAATAGCGTACTGAGATAATCTGTCCTCAACACTTACCGAGGTCTGCTTGCTGAGCGCGTTGTATTTGTTCTGTAGTCTCCGCTACGGGTGCTGTATCAATGTAGTACTCAACTTTGTCTATGCGCGTCGCATCAAATGCCTCGCGCAGCGCGAATTTTTCTGTCCTTATATCACCTGACGTTTCAACTGTTTCGCTTGCTTCTAAAGATTGAACAAGAAACAGCATAGCATTACGATGAAGAAGTTCCATGCTATTAATGAGCAATTTGTGCGTAACCTATACATTTTATTTTTTCGCAGAGTGTCGGATTAAAAGCGTCCCTTTATCTCAAAGCCAACACCGTATTCGCCTTTTTCGTTGTTCTCAATCTTAATAGACATATTTTCTCTCAGTTGATATTCTGCGCTGATAGACCGCGCGTCTACATCATGTAGACGGTGAAAATTAAACGTAAAGCCACCGAAGGCACGCGAAAACGCAGCGTTGCGCACAAGAAACGTCATAATTTCCTCATGCGAGAGGATTGGAGTCGCGTTAGGTGCGCTCAGAACAAACTCTGGGTTTTTTAAGGTGCCAGTCAGACTCGCGTTAATCTCAAGGTCAACTGTGCTCTCATCCCTCGGCAGGACACCGCGAATACGGTTCGGTGTTCGGAGAAAGATACTGAGTTCCGGATCAAAGTCGCTGGTACTTCGGTTAGTAATTCTTGAGCCTTCAATGAATTCAAAGGTTTGTGGAATAAGTGCAATTCTACCGCTGAGCACCGAAACATTTCCATTGAAAACTGGCTTTTGAATTGGACCGATGAGTTTACTGCCTGAACTGGAAATTTCAATGTCTGTGGGTCCCGTGATGGATGAGCGCACATGAAAATTGTTGGGGATATCAATATCAACATCCAAATATAAATCACGAAGGATGGGATAATTCAATATAACGTCTACTTCACTTACGGAAGCACCCACGAACCAATCTACTACTGCCTCCCAGTTTTGTTCATAATATCCCTGACTTTATATTCAGATTGCCTGTTAAAGACGGATCATCAAAACTACCTTGTAAATGAAACTGGGTCGGATTAGAACTAAGCTTAACCTGATACTTTTCGGGTTGTTCAAAAAGTGCCGATGAGATGCTGGTCTGCAAATCCATCGTCGGTGGGTTTTCCCATACGTGTCCATCTGGCGGTGCCTTGACGCTGCCGGTAATCCAAAAGTCACCATCATTCAATATGCCCTCAAGCTGCTTAACCGTCGCGCCTCTCTCTGATAACTCAACTCTGCCTTTTATCTCTTTAGCACGAATGTCTGCCTCTGGAAATTCAAAACCAATATTATTAAACAGCACAGCACCTATGGCTTGCGGTGCTTCTATCGTGCCTTTGAGTTCAACATGGATTTGACCTGTGCCTGTTGGAGATTCGAGACCCGGCACCACAGATGATAGCACGTCAAAATCATTTACCTTAATGTCCAAGATGCTACCCATCTTTGTTTCGCGGAATTCCTTCCAAACGACTCCTGGTGACCGTTGCAGTTCCGTCAGAAACGGGACGAGTCCCAGCTGATAAGGCATTTCCCATGAAAAGTTAAGCAGATTTTCACCGAACTTAACTTCAACATATCGTTTTTTTGAGATTTCCCATTTTCCGTTCTGATACCGAATCCTCCACCGGAGGTCAATAGGGATGTCATGCAGGTAGAGTTCCGCGGGTTCAGACCTATGTCGTCGCAAAGTTATCTTCGGTCTT